CTGTGTGCGTGCAGGACAGTGTGCGATGTGGCAGTAACTCCCAAGTCCATAACTTGGCAGTCTTCTGCAGAACCAGAAACAAGTTAAACAACAAAGGTTTGAGCCATGACTCTGTTCAGAAGAGATCAGGAGGAGCTCAAAGTGGGAGGTGCATGGACAGTGGAAGGAGGAAGGAGATGAGGCAAGCGTGCGTTTAGGGTGGAAGCCTATCACGCCATTGTCGCCTGCTGCATGGTACGTATGTCTGTACTTGGCCCACATGACGCCAAGAAGATGTTACCATCACCAGGCCATGAATCTCGGAAGCATTCACCAAAGGAATGGGTCTGCGGTGCGGCAATTGAATCGGTCTGCGTGCGTGTTCTTGGCCTCCCCCCCCACAGGACCATACGGTACACAAGCATTCCATCGAACACTTACACACTCCTTCGCGACATCTCATGGTGCCTTCCTTGTCTTCGTCCTCTTCCAAGTGCTTCCCCCACGATGGGACACTGACGTACTCCGTCTTCCCGGTCTTCGATAGCCAGCTTCGCAGACTCGATGCTGCTTACAGTAACAGCAGGTAGCGTTCTCCAATTTGGATAGGAATCCTTCCTTCCTGACACAGATGGCGCAGTGGCACTGTTGGAAGGTCAGGAGGGAGAGGAGAGGAGAGGAGCACACATTTTACTGGAGCCCATTCCTCAGCCCGCACTGCTGCTGCAGCCTTTGGTGTGCCCTTCGCCGGGACATTTGCCGGAAAAAGGAGCTGACAGTGCCCGGTCGTCAGTTCTCCGTGGCTTCGAAGATGTTTGTGTTGGGTGGATTACGGCGTGGGCACTGTCAAAGTGCATATTATACATAGTGGTTGTGCACACATGCGAAGCAAACATATCAAATATATCTCCAACTATGCCATACATATATAAAACTAACAGTATTTTCCATGTTTTGATGAGTGGAGGAGTTCTTAAAGTTGAATTTAGAGTATCAAAATTTTATATTGTTGATTGAGGAATATTGGCAATTTATCAAAGCTTTGACACATGGTGACTAGCTATTGGAGAAAAGATAAAATACAATGAAATAAATAAGTAACAATGGGAATAAAACATACTCAAAATATTTTCTCATTAAGAAAAGTTTTTTGTATCCATAAATTATCATTAAGAATATTTTTGCTAAGTAAAGATCATTAATACTCTGAGTAAAAATATTTTACTCAAGTAAAGATCATTAATACTCTGAGTATTAATACTTTGAGTAAAAATATTTTAAATCAAGTAAAGATCATTAATACTCGAGTAAAAATCATTAATACTCTGAGTTAATAATTACGAAGGAGTGTATTGTTATTAGTGTTAAAGATAATATGAAAATATTTTTTTCTAAAAAGATATATAACACATATTACTTTAACCCTTCTGCTTACCATATCGAAAATAAGATAGCTATCAAGATTAGCCCTTTGTTTAAAATATTAGAGTATACCAAGTTAACACACGAGCATATTTATTCCCCTCATTAAATCTATAAAAGATTATATTCTTAAAAATACCTTGTAAGATTAAAAATAATTTTTATTTTTTTTTAAAGCAACTATTAGGGGATGATGCTAGTAATAACTAAATCCTTAGTTCGAACCCGCATGTATAAGAAATCTTCAAGAGTGATTAATGAGATCTTAAGAACTCAACTTGGTACCGACCTATACGAAGATCGAGTTCATATGGGGTTTCTGATGTCATCCCTCTAATGCTTAAATTAGCAATGAAATATAATAGAAGTCATGAGTAAATAGTGACTCACCTTCGTAATTCAGATGCATTTTATATTGAATTAATATGCATGTGGCTTGCTTGTTGACTAGAGCCTTGGTCTCCTTATGTTGATTAAACTACCACATATCGAGTCTTAATTAAGATAAATATTTTTCTTATTATGTGTCCCCGTGGAAGGTGTACTTAGGGAGTTCTCTCGGAAAGATCTAAAAGTGCAACTATATCAAATTAGCACATTGATTGTCGAGTCATTTGCTTAGTAGTCATGATTGACCTATCGAGGAGATCAACAAGTCTTATGAGACACAATGGATAGCTACTAGTACTTAGCCCAAGAAGAGTGTATTGGGTAGATTTTCAATGTTTAGTCTAAGAAGAATGCATAAGATACATTTGTTATCTATAGCTCGATTAAAGCACATCAGACATAATTTTTGAATCTTAGTCTAAGGAGAGCACATTTTATGCATCCTTGATTTTTAATCTTAGAATGATACATCAAACAAATATTCAATACTTACCCAAGAAGGACATAATGCTTTGCCCAAAAAGAGCATATCGAATACATTTATAATCCTTAGCCCGAGGAGGATGTATCAAAAAACTTTTGATACTTAGTCTAAGGAGGGTGCATCCTTGACGATTAGCCTAAAAAGGATACATTAGATAATTTTTTATGCTTAGTCTGAGGAGGTGCATTGGATAACTTTTGATGCTTAACCCGATGAGGGCGCATTGGTCGACCTTCAATTTAATTTGAGAAGGATGCATTAGGTAACTTTCAATATTTGCCTCAAGGGAAATGCATTGAATGACTATTGATACTTAGCCCTAAAAAAAATACAACAAGAAATCTTCAATACTTAGCTCTAAGAGGGCATATCAAATAATTGTCTATAACCTAAAAATGCTTAGTATGAGAAAGACATATTGAACAACCTTCGATTCTTATCCCAAAGTGGGCACATCAAGTGATTTTTTATATTTAGTCTAAGAATAATGCATTTGATGAGTCTTTGATGCTTGTGCTAGTGGTCAATTCTCATGTCGATTGATGCCTTGGTGAGTAAAAAAAATCATAAAAAGATTGAGTCGATAAGTGAAAAAATTGAGTAGAAAAGACTAACAAGATACCTACCCGAATGTTGCTTGGGCAAGAAGCATAGGCATGAAGCCACTGATGGGATTTTTAATAATTAAGGTGGTACGTTAAGGCTATAAGAAACTTATCTATAGCAATGAGACTCATTATGCAATTTGAGCCCTCATTTTGGATTTTATGAGCCTTCTATTACATCTCTTATTCATTGAACCTCCAAATCATCATTATTCATCCCTCTCCTATATCAAGTCGAGAGGATGTCTTTTTCTTTATCGTTTGAGTCTTGCTCTAGCTAATTTATGATCGAAAGGATCAAAGTATTATCATCGGTTAACCCAAGGGTATGAGAGAGATGGCAAGAGTGGACTCAAAGGTTATTAGGAATCTTTAAATCATATAAGATACTTATAACTAGCATTTAGCCCTGATTCCTAAGTATTTGGAGTATCTGCACCTCATGTACTTCATATTAACTAAGTATGTTGTGTAGGTATCTTGAGTTAGGCTGCATCCATATAATTCGATGTGTATATACCTCTATCTATATGTCGATGTGTGAATATCGAACTTAGGTTCCCCCTCTATCTGTTGATTATGGTGTACCTTCAGTGGTGGAGTATACTAGCATCTCATATGACACCCAATTCATGGCATTATCTCATAATCTTTATTGAGGAATGATGCTATGTCAGCATTACCCCTATCCTGAATCTTTTCACCTTTACTTTAAAATTTATATCAGGGCCACTTTAAAGTTTGTAATAGGGCTAAAAACTACTATCTTGTAACTCGAAAAGTATTCAATGTGAAGGGAACCCTCAACTTTCATATTTGAAGAGGTGCTACTTCTTTATTGGGAACCACCTTAACTGATCAACTCATATTGTCACGAACATCCTTTTTTTTCTAACTACTAAGGAAAAAGATTATGTACTTCAATTAATAGAAGCTTTATCCTCTTTCTTAGCCATAAAAAATGAATCGATATTGGTTGGATTTCTAATATGAAAGGGTATGCTCCAATCCCTTAAGTCTTTCTTTTCTAATCCTTCCCCCAGTGCAACACTAAGCAAAACTTTTGTTACATGAGTATGGATTTCAAGGTACTGAAGATGAGAAAGGTGACGATGTTCGTCTCGACAAGTTCGATGTCTACCCCAAAATATTTCTCTATTATGATGAGCTCTTTGGCTCTCGAAACACCCTTAAAGAGCATATCTCACCCTGATGCAGTCGGCGCTGAGACATCCTCCTAAAAGAGAAGGGTTTGATGCATTAGACAATTAGCAAGCAAGCCTCGGAAAGCTAATCCCATAGAAGTCACAACACTACTAAGACCTGTGCAAGCATTGATCAATCCCCTTTTCAACCATCCAGATGTTGGAGCTACTTGACCCAATGGGATGAGAACCATTGATGCCAAGATGGGTTGAAGACTTTCGAGATGACTTTAAACGACGATCACTAGGTTGTTGAGTTTCTTTAAGGGGTGTTGATCGTTCTATGAACAATGAGGGATATACATTCTCCTCTAAGGTTCTTATTCATCCGACAATCAAACATACCATAGTGGTAAATCATCTTAATTTTTATGAGTTACTCATTCATCTTTTATAGTTAAAAGACTCCTAACTTGGACACTAATAAAAATCAAGAAGAATTTTTTAGAATTTTATGTATTTTTCAGTAATAATGGGATTCGGATACATTACAACCAGATTATCCAATTGGGTAGTGCCTCTAGGCATTCAATTCAAATCGGACTGGTTGGTGATGGGTCCATGTGGGACCATGTTTCTCAAGTCACGACAAGGTTAGGTGAGCGGGCGTGGGTGAACCACGATCGAGTACGCAAAAGTATTGAGCTGCTGCGTCCCCGTAGGCCACGCTCTTCACCCGTCGCTTGCACTCCTCGCAAAGCGAACTTGCGGTCGCAAATGGACGACCGGATCCATCCTTAAACATCGACCAGTTTGCACCCTCTTCCTACCTGCCCGACGTGCCTGACTACTACTGGAAGGGATGGAGTGGACCCACCGATGATACATGGGTAAGTCGGAGAATAAAGTATGTGGGAATCGCAGTGGTGCTACTATAGTGGGAAGATGAAACTTCCGGAAGACGGAAGACCGCGTCCAATTGGCCCACTGGGCGTCAACGGCGAGACCCGACTCCGCACCCGACGCTTAAGTGGAAGCCATCCTCGTCGTTTCCGCGAGGCCAAACCCCTCCCTGATCCGTTCCAATGGCGGATCCGCCTCCCTCCTCGTCGCTCCTCCTCGATCCCCCCTTCGCCGACCTCTTCCCGGACAACCTCTCCCTCCCCTCCGACGATCTGCGCGACCTCGACTTGGATTTCGACTTCGACGACTTTTCCGTTGACGACTTCCTCTGCTCACCGGAGGAGCCTCACCACCACGCCTCCTCCCACCCTTCCGCCGCCGACGGATCCGCTGTGTCCTCCTCCTCCTCCCTCAACCAGGATCCCCCGCACCTCGCCGCTCGCCCCTGCTCCCCCGAATCCGGCGACTCCTCTGCCTCCGGCGTCTTCGTCGCTGACCGTGGAGTCAAGGAGGAGAGGGAGAAGGCCGGATGGGGCCTGAAGAGGAAGATGGAGACGGACGACGATGGGTTATCTGACGGCCACGCCGATCTTAACCTTAATAACCCTGGATCTAACCCTAGGAGCAGCAAATTTCGGCGATCAGAGGAGGCGAGCTCGCCCCCCGACGTTGGATCGGGGGGTGAGGTGGTGGAGGAGAAGAGGAGGGCGAGGCTGATGAGGAACCGGGAGAGCGCCCAGCTCTCCAGGCAGAGGAAGAAGCAGTACGTCGACGAGCTGGAAGAGAAGGTCAAGTCGATGCACTCCACCATCAATGAATTGAACACCAAGATCTCGTACATCATGGCGGAGAACGCGACCTTACGACATCAGCTGGGTGGGAGTGGTGCTCCTCCTGCGGTTTATCCACCACCAGGGGCGATGGCGCCGATGCATTTCCCGTGGGTTCCGGGGTATGGATTGAGGCCACAAGGGTCGCAGGTTCCTTTGGTTCCGATACCCAGACTGAAGCCTCAACAGGCTGCGCCTACTCCAAAGGCAAAGAAGTCAGAGAGCAAGAAGGGCGAGCGCAAGACGAAGAAAGTGGCAAGTGCGAGCCTTTTGGGGTTGTTGTTCTTTATGCTAATACTTGGAGGAGCAATTCCCAGAGTAAACCGTTGGTACGAAGGAAATGAGGCGGATGAAGGTATGAGTAAAATGAAAAGTTTGAGCCAGACTAAAGGTAGGATTTTTAGTGTTAGAAGTCGTGGTAGTGGTCCAAATAGCACAGTATTGTGTAGCAGAAAGAAGGGTTTTGGAGAAGGTGGTATAGATAGGGTTACTGGTAGGAGATGTGAGGATGTAGAGGCGGGCTCTCGAGTGAAGCCAATGGGAAGCACTTCATGGTCATCACCTGGTTCGGAAGCTGTTTTTACGCAAAACTCCACCGAGAATCTGCCTGCAATGCTTTATGTGCCGAGAAACGGCAAGCATGTGAAGATTAATGGAAATTTGATAATCCATTCTGTTCTTGCCAGTGAGAAGGCCATGCAACAAGCCAAAGAAAGGCAGTCACTGGGTAAAGAAGGTAAAGAGACTGGGCTAGCTGTTGCAGGCAATTCGATGTCTGCATTGGCCATTTCCAAACCTGGAAAGGAGGTGGATCAACACTCTAGATCTTATAGAAAAGCTTCTAACTCTGATGATACATATGTGAACAACTTGAAAGCAACTTTGGCTGATGATGGCCCAATGCAACAGTGGTTCCGCGAAGGAATGGCAGGTGAGCGAATTATTCCTCATTTGTTCATATCTGTGTTTGGTGTTCCTGAATTTACAATGTTTCTCTTGAATTTGACATTAAATTGGCAAATCTTTTATTTATTAATATCTTCTGGGCTAGATAGCTCTTTCTTATATATGATCATTTGTTTATGTTGCTTGAGAACTATTATAGCATGCGATTTGCTTTAAGAAGAAAGAGGAAATCAGATTGCAATCTTTGGGGGGGCATCAGATTGCATTTACAAAAGGAACAAGACCCGTAGCTGTTAATATCATTGAATATGACAATTCCATAGGGGAAAATACAATCTTCAACCATAGATTTGCATATGAATTATAAACTAGTTATGATGAATTTTTACGTAGAATATACCTCTGTATTCTTTTATCTGCTAGGGTAACATTTTAGTTTCATGCACTTCCTGATCGTAGTTTGGACCTTGTTTTTCATGTTCCATCTATGTCTTGCAGCCTGTAGGTGTCTAATATCTGCATAGCTACATAATCTGTGAATGGTCATGCATTTGTAGACATGTTGACCCAGGATTTTCAACCCAGAATTAATACGAGAATATTTATTTGTAGCCTATGGCCTATCTAAGTTGTTACATCCACTAATGTATTGGAATCACTTGTACACCACATGAAAACTTTAGTTAGTATTTGATGCGTATAAGAAGTAAATATGAACATCTGTATTAAATATGTTTCATCATTTTTGTTTGAAGTTACATTGCACATTGAATTTCTCTCTTTCTATGTTAGTTTTTGTATGCAAATTCAAATTTCAAGCATGGCTTTTGGTTGCTCATTCTTTAGCTTTAGTGCCTTGTGTTTAAACTATAAAAAGCATCCGATAGTTTCAGTTTCATGAATGAAATAATTTACACAAAACTGTTTTGGTGTATGATTACGATGTTGTTTTGACAGGCCCAATACTGAGTTCGGGCATGTGCACTGAGGTGTTCCAGTTTGACGTCTCACCATCTTCCTCTTCGAGCAGCATCGTTCCTACTAATTCAATCATTAACGCTTCCTCCATTGTCAATGCTTCGGAGAACCTCCCTCCTACTTCGTCTCATCCTCGAAAAAAGAGAAACAGGAGGATAATGTATCCTGAACCAATTCCACTTCGAGGAACGACGACGGCAAATAACACGGAACAGTTTGAAAAGCCTTCTGAAAGCAGCAACTTCCACAATCCTAAACCTGTTTCCTCAGTTGTGGTCTCTATTTTGGCTGATCCCAGGGAGGCTGGTGATGGTGAAACTGATGGGAGGATTTCACCCAACTCCCTATCTCGAATTTTTGTTGTTGTACTTCTTGACAGCGTCAAGTATGTGACCTACTCCTGTGTTCTTCCTTTTAAGACCTCTGCCCCCCATCTTGTAAACTAATTCCGGGGAGTAGATTATGACTGAATGATAATAAAAAGCTTCAGTTGCTTTGCTCCCTCGGTAGCATTGTTGTGTCTGATACGGAACGGTGGTTTATCTTTTTAACATGTTTTAAGTATTTGCCGGCTATAAAAAGGTGGTTTCATTGTGTTCAGCTTGGCTGAGCGATTCATATTGGCTGACAAACTAATTCATCTTGGGAGGACAGCACTCGCGTCCTTCTCCGGCATTCCGTCGAACAACTTTCGTGTGGCAGATAGCCAACGAAGGTGGCCAAGGGCGAATTTCTCAAAGCTAAGAACTTTTTACGAGAATTTATCCAACATATATTATATGTAAATAGAAAATAACATAATAATTTTAAAAGGCCCAAACAAATATATATATATATATATATGTTGTAATACTAATAAACTTTTTAAATAAAAAATAAAACAACATTATCAATAATAAATAAAAAATTTAAAGAGCCGAATAAAAATATATTTTACACTAATACAACAAACTTAAAATAAAATAAAAAGACAAACAATAAAAAATAAAAAAGAGGTCAACCCATGACCTATCAAAGCTATGGACCTAATTTAATAGAAATTATTTAAATGACAAATAAGAAATATTTTAAAGAGCCCGACAAACATAATACAACATATTTAAAATATAAATAAAAACCCAAACAAATATATATAGTGTTACAAGAAAAAATTGTAGAAAGGGCCCAACCGGGTTCGAACCGGTGACCTATTGATCTGCAGTCAATTGCTCTACCACTGAGCTATGGACCCAATTCGGTTTTGATAAGAAATATTAATTATTAATTATTTATAATGTGTCAGTCTTTTTCATAGCAACAAAGCTTCACCTATGAAGATACAAGCATGATGCATAAAATTTAATGACATTAATAAGCTTCAGATTGGTGCTACAGTGAATCCATACAAATTTACCAATTTTTTATCATTAAGGGCTGCGTGAAGAAGACATTAATAACCGTGATTTGGTAGAGTATACTGACCTGAGCTATCTCCATTATCCACAGGACTTAGGCCACATCATCAAGATATCGACAAAAGGATAGATTTTGATGGAGAATAGTTATCATCACACATACTCCTGTCAAGATCCCTGTTTTCATATTCACAAAACAAAGTATAAAAATGCATATTGCAAATTAAACAGTGTCGAAACTGTGTGCAGTCAAGAGGTCAAAGGTATACAATCCGTATGCATGTAATGCAACTGTTGAATGCATGTTATGTGATGACTGAATGGAAGAAGTTAATGTAACAACAACATGAATAATTATCTAAAGGTAAGATGATAGAGGAAAAATTCATCCCCCCAAACGCAACTCGCCATGTGGCTATCGATCAGCACAAATGGTCGGACCTAGACGATGTGGCGACCACCTAAGCACAGGAACAATGGTGGACCCAGAAGAGAATATTCTGTCCGTATCGCAAAATATTCTTTTGGGCCCAACTTGCTATAAAATTCATCAATTTACTATTATTACCAAGGTCAATTACTATTTACCCGTGACTCCACTTTCCATCTCAGTCCTAACTTGACCATCGAAAGGATCAAGTTGGACACCCCACCCAACTCTAGTCTTCCTACGGGTCGACTCCTCAGCAAACACCTGAACCACCTCCTTGATCATTTTTGGACTCTAGCGCACGTGGCCCAAAACCGACTCGGGCCGATAGAGACGTCACTGATAATCACACCATCATAAGACTATCAAGAGTGTATTCATTTAGTCTAATGAATGAGTTGGAATGTCATTTAAATGTAACCCAACCCAAGAACTAGGCTTTGGAATCATGACTTTGTCCAAAAAAGTTGTACTCTTAATGGTGTACTTGTTGCTTGAACAGCATCTGCTGACTTCAGAATTCTTTGTTTCAACTTTCTCAGGGCACACTATCATTACTTCCCACAGAAGCATATGGCCACCGTCAGGTTAATGCTCCATCTCTCATTGGTCACCCATTCCCTGGAATCATGTTACTTCCTATTTGATTTATGCACCGGAGATCATGATTCTTTCTTTCGGCAGTTTAAGCTCTAGTTTCTTTAACAACTGGACATGCACAAAATCAAAGAAGCAATATTTAGATTGCAAGGGAAGTAACAAAAATTTCATTTCAGTAAAAACAGGAAAGATGCCTGAAAAGTAGATTCTCTGTATTTACCTTCAGTGGAGATGGGCATTAACCAAAGCTTATCCAATGGCTTCAAAAAAGGTAGTCACATAACCAATAATATTTGGGTCTCTCTTTTCTCTTTACTAATCTTCAGGATTGCTTTTCACTTTTATGATTTGCATAAGCAACATAATGAAGTCATTTGACTTCCCTGCACGCAAGAGGGAGTCCAATGGGGAACAAGAATATATTAATGGTTGCCAATGGATAAATGTACATATAATTGCATGAACTGAAGTTGCTAGCTAAACTAGCCAGTAAGATTTTGTCAGATTACCCTACGATCCTGAGAACCTGATCTTCCTTTACAAACTAAGCATCTTCACATATGTAGCAACAAAACCCCAAAAGATTCAGGTTCTACAGCAATATTATAGACACTGTGTGCAATTTATCACAAGCAAATACCAACCATCACCACCACCAGCAACAAAGGCTCATTAAAAGCAATATTCTAGGCATTTAGTACAGTTTATCAAAGCATATGCAGCCAAAACAACTAGCTAATATCGAAATACCAAGGATAATGGAAGACAATCTATATTATTAATTACATTGGGATGTATAATATATTACAAATTGAACAACTTGTAGTCAAGACTAATAAAAAGAATCTAGATTTGGGAAAAGGTTGTCATACACTCATATGATGATGTCTACATCTTATAAATCCAGCAGACAGCACCAGAGTTGCTGCCATTTACATTTGAAAGTAGAAACTGTACCGTCCAATGACTCCAAGAAGTCGATCGCAAGTAACTCATCAGAACTAATTGACTGTTTATAGTCCATAAGTAAATCAATAAAGTAATTCAAACCACTTTGCAACTAAGACCAACCGATCCAAGTCCAACCCCTAATTGATCCTTAATCCTAACCCCACATTGGAGGACATCAGAAACCAAAACGAGTCATTATTGCAGCAGCATCCGAAGCACATAAACAACAAAATGAAGGCTAGGTTGATGACAAAACAGGAAACGCCTTCAGCAACTGAAAGGCGAAACCCATCAAGAACAGAACCCTAGATGACCGCAAAGATCGAACAAAGCAAATGTTGATCTACGAACAAGACGACTATGGTGATAATACTGATCGAACGACAAGAACAATAGTGCAGAAGATTGATCTCACAGATGCAGCAAGACGAATAACGCAAGGCGCGGTACGCATTAATGGCAGCAAGAAGACGCCTCGAGCAACCGGAAAGAGGAGCCACCCAACCGCCAGAGGAAGTGAAAGGGGGGCGACGTTGCCGACGTTTCCGTTTCTCTCACCATCTTTCTTATTTGCCGCACTCATTATATATATATATATATATATATATATATATATATGGTCTGGGTTGAGTTTGAGATTCGTCTCTCAAACAAGCCTTCTCTCTTGGTGAGTAGCCTACTTCTTCGTCGAATTCTTATACACGAGCCGAGGTCGAGATGAGGATTTCTTGACTCGATCCCTTAGAAGCACCTCTCTTGAGACCGATCAGGGGGTTGACTTTTATATCTGTGAACAAGGGTTAATCGTGGGTTGACTTTTATATCTGTGAACAAGGGTTAATCGTATGTGATCGGTTAATGACACCCGGTTTGTACCTCCTATATGAACGTCGATCGACCTGCATGGACCCACACAGACCCACACCGCGCAACAACGTTTTGAGCTTTCCGGAGCGACTTTGTGTTATGCGACATCGTCGCGTACAATTTTGGACGGCATGGGACAAGCGTCCATCCCACCCGAGTCCAAGATACCACGTCGACACGATGCATCATATCAGTGCTGAGGCTCCATGTTGGCGCTGATGTGATTGTTGACTACTGCAACGATGGTGACACCAGAATATACCCTATCAACGGCCACTCTACATTTATTTTGCATCTATACACTAAGTAGTACGAGGATGATCGAGTGAAAGACTTCCAAAGTATAGCCTTACTCATACGAGATGCATGAACTGGATGATATGATCAAATGATCGCAGGAGCAGCACATGATCAACAAGTTATACCAACAAATACAGGAGTTGCAGTGCCATGCTTTGCAACTACAAGTTTAGCTTCAAATCAAGGTAAAAAATCACTTTGATCACAATAAAATATGGTCAAGGTCCTGTTCAAGCAGCAATCTTATTACACCATGTCTGCAATCATTTTTCTATGGTTTGCCAATCTCAAGTATGCAACAGTTAGTACATATAGCCATTGTAAGAATCAGACTGTGGATACATATGTAACATTGACTTCCAAGAGCTAAAGCTAACCTTCATTGTTTTTATTTTACCTGCATATTTCCCTTTGTAAAATGGTTCTGACTTCCATGTCTCTGCAGGAACCTCAAATTTAGGGTTCATCATATTTTGCTAGTCTATGTACTGATCACACTTCAATTCTTCAGACTTCAGCTATGCCTTGTGTTTCTGCAATGGTTAGCCAAACCAACTGTGCATGCAAACTGTGGACCTAAATGTCTGTCAAACAGTGGATATCATCATTGCTACTCTATTCTACCACATCATCACAGAAATGGAACACCAAAAAGTTTTGGCTGCTAAGTCACTTTTTTACAGCATCAAGGTGGGGTGGGGAATCATGGCATCCCTTGAATCCACTCAAAAAGAGATGTTTCCACATGAGTGGGCCACAGGAAGCTGCAAAAGCAAAAACCAAACACAAAGCTAACATCATGACCAACTCTTCCTGCCACCTCTGGACAACTGCTTTGGCATGTACTACTGTTGCTACTACCACAACACTGGGACTGATCCACCAGCAGCCAGAATCTGCTTCTCCAGCTAGCATCCAAGAAAGAGAAAATGTGAGCACGACTGACAAAGAATGGATTCAAACAAAGACTTTTTTACCATACCCTGAACAGAGTTTCCAGCTTGCTCTTCACCAGGAAATACTCCTGCCTCACTTGCTGCAGACATCTGAGGCAACTGCAGAAAGGCTTTGCTTGTTTAGAAGTGAATCATTCTAGTTGAGATCAGGTATGGAATGAAGAGAAAGATGTGCAACAAGAACAAAAAATTATATTGAGAGACTGGAAATAAACCCTTCTTGGTTCCTCTCCTCACAGCAGTTGCGAAAGGCCATGCACACATTTTTAACTCTTTGAGCACCTATGCTGTTCAATCAGAATACCAAGTATGTGGGGAAAGAGCTCAATCAGAATACCATCTTAAGGAAAATCTACTCAGAATATGATTGTATTGAACGCACAGTTTGATTTCAAATATGCAGACATTCTTGAGGAAATATTTCAAGGTTTTGGCATCTAAAAAACACCAAAGGAACAACTCGAATGGATATGAAGTGGAAAACCTGGCACTGCTGCCTTTCAACTGGTGGACATGGGCATCCACTTTCTTGTAGTCCACAACCTGCTGATCTCTTGAGAGTTTGCACCGCCGAAAGAAGAAGCATGTAAACGATAAATCCATCGAATCGAGGGACGAGGCATGTGTAATGGAACAGGATTTGAGGAGTTGTGGACCAGATCACTCACAGGGTCCTGCTTAGTTCATCGAGGAGCTTCTCAGAGTCTTCAAAGAAAAGAGTCACGACCTCAAGAACAAACTCGGGGTTGCTCTCATCCTGCAGCTGCTGCAACTGTGTGTACTGGTTGTCCAGAAACCCCTTCTCCAACACCAGACAGATTTAGAGAAACATCACAAGAACTCGGAATCAGAAGAACAAGGACAGAAGTACCAATGAGAAAAGATCCCTATACCTCACGGAAGAGAGCTGATGTGAAGTCAATGTATCTTCTTTGCAAGCTACCCAACTCCATGTCTCCGCAGCTATGCAGCAGGGACCAGGTTTCTTCCAGGGAGGGGGGCTCTTCGCCTCTTCTGAGGAAAAGCTATCACCAAGAACAATATGGAAGGAACTGCAGAGAGATTCACCAAGTTTTGGAGGAAATTTATTGCTGCAGAGAAACCACTCACCCTTTTAGTCACTGCCTCCTAAAGCTAGCCATAAATTCTCATGACTATCTGTATTAAATCCACCCTTCCTCTTTCGCTCCCTGACTCTGCTCCTCACTCCCTCTCTTTACAGCCTATACTACCTTCTATATTCTCTTTCTATCTCTCTCTCCCCCTTGAATGGCTGCGTGATGTTGGGAGAGCATCTCATCCTAACCAGGCACAACATTAGTTAGCCACCTCTGATTGGCCTACTGTGGCAGGAAAAATACAACCGGAGCTCACCCTTCCCAAAGAGTCAATGACAAGGATGCTGTGGTCTGGATTGGTCCCTCCACTGTTTTCTTCACTCTCTCTCTCTCCAATGAACAACACACACAAGATTCTGTCTGTAGTCCTCTCTCTAATAATGTTCAATGGCCTGATCAAGATTCTTACCCTGCTTTCTGTCTCTGCAATTCGCTGGTGTGGGCTGGCAACCTTTACCTTTCTTAAACATCTTTCCCATGGCAAACCTTATCCCCAGAAAAAGAAAATGTGGAGTCACTCACTTGTCCTGTTCTTCTAAAGCATTCTCTTCTGTTCACTTGCATTGGCTTATTATCAGCTATTTGTGTCGAAACACAAGACTCAGCATACTGATCTAACAATCACTGACCATAACACCAACAAGCATCCAAAATTCCTATTTCATTCTACCAAGCTGCCATCATCCCTTCCACCATCACCACTGCCATGGTCACAGTGTTGACGGATGAAGAGGAACGAAATGACAGTACCTGTGCGTTGACGCATCATGTCGGTCAAAGCCGCCGTCCTGTGCCGACCATTAGTCAGAGCGACTGCGACTGATGCGTCCGTGTACATTGGAAGAACTACCAAACCTATGCTTACAGCAACTACTGACTTCTTCTTAATTGCATCTTAAACATTAGGATGTGAGTAAGTAGCAAATATTTTGCTTCAACTATTTTTCTCACGAGAGATTTATATTGTGTGTGACACACATCAGAAATTTGTGGAATACGCCTCCAGTGTTAATCTAGTGACAATGTATGTGAATCCATTACCTTAGGATGAGAGCTTGAATCATCTGTTGTTCTTCCCTCATTTAGGGTCTGATGTCCGAACCATCTTAGTACTCCATGATCCTGCACTAATGGAAATGCCTTGAGAGAATGATATGTGGCTCGTTAGACAATAATAATAATAAATCATAGTATCCTAATTATTTCAGGTCAACCACACTAATCTCTTCTCATCATCAAACTTTGCATAAGATTATGTCTGCATGAGATATTGGAGAATGCTCTAATTAAAGTAGGTCACAGAACACATTCGTCTAACAGTCCCATTTCTTGCAGGTGACAAGCAATACATGAACAGAAGTCATGAAACAAACTAAGAAAGTTATCAGGAAAAACACTGTGTAGATGAATAAAGCAGCTAGCAACTTAATTTCACCTGACATCATTTTGGGGACTTGTCTGAGATCCTGTCACATACTTGCATTTTAATTGTTGGACAAGCTCTAGCCATCCTTTTCTACACTGAAAGGTACATTTTGTACAAGCTCAACCCATATCATGTCAGGTGAATTCAAGTCACTGCAGGTACTAGCACTGAGCTTGTTCACATACCTGTTAGGAGCCATCAGCTAGTGATATGAAGAACTTTGAAAAATCACCTGGAAAGATTCATGAAAAACCATAAATTTTGACTTGATACAGAAAGATGAATTCATTCAACACAGGAGATTTTTAATTAATAAGCACAAGATACAAAAGATCCACCGAATGTTATTTATGGAGCCATTGACAAGGGTTGCTGCAAATACCAGTAAGATTGCATGCTAGTATACTGTGCCACCAGATTGACTAGCTTTCATGGCATCAAAGTATCAATGGAGCATCATATTGACCTCTATGACATGGAACCTCTGTTGCAGTTCCTCATAAACATCAGCAATCAGGGGCAACACATAAAACATTAACTTCTCCAACAGTACTGAGATACAACATGACCAACCAGATTTATTGCAACTCTTGGACAACAAGAGCTTCTCAAAGTTTAAAACTATCCAAGGTTTAGAGCAACATGAAAAATATAATGTAACAAAAAGAATAAATGAAAGCTGAATTGCAGGGAATCCACACTACAAGAACTGTGCAACTGTAAATCATGGAGAAAGAGTTGGATAATCTTACATGTAGCTCTCCGAAAAATGGGATTCTGCATCAATAAGGGCTGGATCATCTTATAAATAGGTCCTCAAGAATTACACTTCTAGTTCAACAAAGCTACATATAACTTGGTTTGCCTAATTCCAATTCATTAAGCCAAAGTTTTGCCACAAGTTTAGAAGACAATTTTCTTTATCACAGCTCAAAAGCCAGGATGAATCATTTCTCATGACTTTTAGTATTGCCATGGGCCCTAAACAAGAGCTTCATAACCTCACCACAGATTTGTAATACAGGTTCGCTAAAATATGAAAGACACATGAGCACCATTTTTTCACTAGAATGAATTGCATTACGGTTTCATTATACACCAACAAACTTGATCAGAATGATAAAAAATTCCTTTTCCAAAACCATAAACCTTCCATTTTAAAACAATGTTTACTTGTGCCCTATTCTTTTCCACTCCATATTTATTAGCAAAACCTACTCAATGAGAAGTAAGCTTCCAACATCTTGGAATGTCCAATCTAGAAATGTGTTCTGCTTTCATCACAATAACTGAGACAAAAAACAATGAGATAGCCTTCTCTTGACTAAACCCCCATCTTTTCAGTATATTTATGCAGAATCAAATTACAAAAGAAGATGAAAGAAAGCACCAACATCATGAAGCATGGATGACCTGATACACAGAAATCAGTTCAGATCACCAGAATAGCCACTTCTACCAAGGTATACAAAATATTTAAGAGATATAAACTGAAAACAGGGAAGAGAATACAATATATGAAACTTTTTAATGGAGCTTGATACTCTGCATTTCTGAGTTTGCGTTCCAGGCAATCTACAGATTATGCCATATTCTCACATAAAATCAGTTACGTACATCCAATAATAATGTCTCCATGTAGCTAATGGCTAATGTCATCGCCATTATGCAGAATATCTTCACCAGGCTAGCTTCAGACTGATGGTTTACCTGGAACTTGATTTGTAAGTTCACAACAGAAACATCATCAGAAAAAAGTCATGTAGACACATTCCTATGGCAAAATAGGACATATTCTATGTAAAACTCCATGATATACTCCCATAGCAAAATAGCACATACTCCATGTAAAGGAATAATCATATCTGAAATTTTCATGGAATAAGCATGACATTTGATTTCATAACTGCAATTTTCAGCTTGTTATTTTATGCATCAACAGTTTTGAGACAAATACTAGATTGACTCTGCCAACTAAATAGAAACTGCTGGCTTGCTTTATTCAATGTAGCAATTTAAATAGTAGCTGGGTAAAACCCAGATTTAGTTGACAGTCGACAGTACCACCTAACCCCGAGCTTCACTTGACAAATGAATTTATATGCTGTGCAAATCCAACAAGCTTGAAGTTTCACTAAATTGATGCATTGGGAAACTCTCTAGTTTGTACATCAGGGAGTACTTTAGGAGCTACATCTCTGTTAGCCTGTTCTAAAATCTTCTATACCAATTTTGTTCAATTTGTATTGGACAAGATTGGCAGAGATTTGACAATGAAGCACTTTCTAGTAGGATCACTTTTGCCCATTAATTGGATACGGTAGCAAATACAACTATATTTTCTCCAGCACAAGACAAACATATTATATTGTACTACTTAAACTTGTTTGAGCAACAAATTCCCTGTTTGCTCACTGATATTGCTACAATAAGAGAATGTCTTCCAAGTTTCCTTTTAATATATGTACAGCACTAAACAAGTATGTCAAGAATTCACATTCACTGAGGCATAGGATCAAAATTATACAGAACAACAGAAGTTAGAAATCCACATTTACTAAGTACCATAGAAGAAAACACTTGAAAACAAATTTTGACCCACCGCAAATTGATTCAAGACCACACCTTTAATGAGAGGAATTACCTGGTGTAGTGAAAGTCTAAAAGGAACACAGCTTAATAGATCAGCTGTAAAATATTTTAGATGACACAGACAATTCCTACAACTAAACCTAAACCAGAAACTGCTCATCTCAATTTAGTTTGCAGAAAATACACAAGGGAGCAAACTCGAAGATAAGAAGCTTTAGAGGGAGCTCGTGTTTCTTCAGTTTGACAGTTTTGATCGGATTAACTGGAACATAAGCATTTAGCTGACTTGCAAGCAAGCTTGTCAATATTCCAGGTGTCTGAATTAATGATCACGCCAGCTCTCATATATTTCTATATCTAGTTCCACTCTATAAGAAATGATGGTCCCTGGATCAGAACAAGACCTGTCGGCTAGCACTCGAGAACCACAGAATCCAATCAGCCGATTCTCTTATTGTAACAAATCAGTAGCTTAGACTCGACTCCAGTGAGCTGCCCTGAGACTGTGCCTCCACTCTAGATTCCTGTGAAGAACTCGTGGATGGTCTCCCCTCAGCAAGACTCAGACGGAGAGGCCGCCCTTCAACCACCTGAATTACCAGAAACATCCATAGAATTTTTCACCATAAGTTTGACAAATTAATCCAACAACAAAGTGATAATTAAGTGAAGCAACATGAAACAAACAGGAACCCAAAAGAGTATGGAACCAATACCACTCCATTCATGGCTTCAATGGCAGCTTGGCACTCCTCAGCGGAAGCAAACGTCACGAACCCAAACCCCCTCGACCGGCCGGTATCACGGTCGAAAATGACCTTAGCACCCAACAGGCCGGGCTGGGAGAAAAATGCATCCCGGAGGGCCTGCGAGGTGAGACTCCATCCGAGGTTCCCAGCATAGACTTTGTAAGGGCTGTCGACAAAGCCGCGGGATCTCATCCTGGGCCCCAGCACTTCCCTTTCCCCTCCCCTTGGCACCTCTGGGAAGTTCACCTTCACCGTCCGGCCACCCACTTGCTGCATTATCATCCAACCAAGAAGCCACGTTCACATTCAAATCAATCACGAGAAAGAATGCATGCAGTAGATCAGCAAATTGGGATGACTCACGGAACCGTCGAACATACGGATGGCCTCGTTGGCCTCCTCGACGCTGGCCATGGTGACGAACGCAAAGCCGCGGCTCCGCTCCGTGACCCTATCGTACACCACCTGGTGCCAACGCCACAGAAAGTGAAGGGTTAGCGCAACACCTAAAGAACGGGCAGCGACGACTGCTGGAGAGGAGATGGAGGAGAACGAACCTCGACGGTCTCGACGGTGCCGGCTTCGCTGAAGACTTCGGCGAGTTCGGCGGGAGTCATGGTGAAGGGAAGATTGCCGACGTACAGCCGCCCCACTTCTTGCCGCAGGAAGACGGCTCTCGTGCTCGCTTTCGACCTGTTCCACTCCTGCTCCTCTTCATCATCATCTTGCTGCTCGTCTTCGAATTGTTCTACATCTTCATCTTCGTCGCCTGAGTAGGAAGCGGCGGCGGAAGCGAAGAGGGAGGTGGAGTTGTGGAGACGAGAGGGAGAGAAGGTAAAGGAAGGAAAGGGGAGGAGGACGAGGGTTTTGAGGCGGAGAGATCCGGGTCCACGGGAGCGGGGTAACGAATAGTGGTGAGAAGGGCTGGTCCGGTCGCGGTGGGCGGGAGAATGGGAGGAGAGCGTGGGAACGCCATGGAGGGAGCGAATGGAAACGACGGTGGCCATTTCTGAGCACGCTTCGTGAGAGAGGAGGAGAGACGAGACAGAAACAGAAGGGGAGAGAGGAATAAAGCTCTTCTTATCCTCTGGCTTTAGATAAGTTGGCCTCTGCTTGATCTCATCCATCCATCCATCAAGAATCCGCACGAATCTCGATGAGACGACCTATTTAATGCTGTAGAATCACGATTGCAATAGCTATTTCTTTTTTTTCAAGATAATTATATTAATTAATTATTCAAATGATATACAATTGCAATAGTTTTTTTTTATTTCTCAAGATAGTTAAATTTTAATATTACTTATTTAAATGCTATAGCTATAGAATTACAATTGTAATACCCCTTTTTTTATTTAATTGGATTAATTACTTGTTCAAAGGTGCATTTTATTATTTACTTCTTATTGTTTCCCCTATTATTCTCATTCCCTTGCAACTATGAATCAAGTTAATTTAATCAAGCCAAACAATATATTACTTGCCAAAATGATTACAAGAAACTCCCCAATAAAAGACTAAGTCAATAGAAGTCTGACAGTATAAAAGACTCATGTTCTCTATATACAGACACGAGTTGTAAACCCAATTTCTCCTCGTCGATCTGAATCCCCAGATCGATCACAAATCACCTTGTACTAACCAGCGTAAGTTATGTTATTTGTTCTTGAACTATGAAACAGCAATGAGTTTTGTCTCAAGGATTCCCCTTTGTGAACTGCATAATACACAAGCTAAGTATAATCTACATATTCCCATATTTTATTGAAAGACCAGCATCAGCAGTGATGGTATTATTAACTGTAGACATCAATGGATTGGACGCACAGAACAATAGACTCGTATATGTTAAGTACAAACAAATGAAATCAACAGTGACCGACTGGCCTTATGCAGCTTTAGGAGGCGGTAGAAGAGCGTTGTCAATGGAGATTCCGGGTAATCAAACCCTCGAATATGGCGTAGAGATCCTTGTTGTCAGGCCCAAAAATCTCCCCAGCCTTTTGCAGTGTTTCCTGGAATGGGATAAGAAAAAGAGCTTTGATCAAGGAACATCGAGATAATGGAGGGAAAGGGGACGGGGCTTGTGATACTCTACCTCTCTTGTTTGCTTGTGTGCGTTCAGTTCTTTGACATTGGACAGGAAAGCACTAAACTGCTCATAGGACAGACGGCTCCTGCATGACACAACTCACAATAGTTCATTATAGATGATTCAATTCACAAACCAGATTCTGTAACGACTCTTTTTTTTCTCATTACTACATGAAAGGAAGCACTTTTTTTTCCCCCTTAGGAAGAACGCCACTTCCAGTGATTCATGTTTGCATAAGTTGTGAAAAAGCTACTAGTGATATTTACAATAGTTAATGACCAAAATCAGTGTAGAATTGCGCTTTTTTTATCTAGGAAAGTTGCATATATGTCCCTTAAAACTCCATGCAATCATATTTATGCTGAAGAACAAAAAGACAACTATACTTGCAAGTCAAATATGATCATTTTGTTCCTGTCAGGGCTACTCCATAGACCCTTATACATACCTAACTTGACGGAAGAACTCTTTTCCATCAACTCGAGTTCGTCCTGAAACAGAAGATTCATGGATCAGTCGGGCAATCAGGAAAATGTAAGACTCTGCATTTTCTATTGGAGTGGAAATTAGCAAATGCAATTCTGGTATATTCAAACAACAGATAAACAAATTCTCTGACCAAACACCATGAATGTCAAAGACATCTCATGTGACCTGCTAGTTGTTTTCTCAAAATAAGGATTTGGCTCAGGATTGCCCATTTTTAATTCCAGGGTTTCTCTGAATTTGGAAGTTACTACGTAGCAGGTTTCGGCTCAATCCAATCAAGTCCGTAGTATCTACCAATTTCGCCATATCCCCTTTGACACCAAGATCTAGTTCGAATTCCAACTCTCTCTTTCATTTATTTTGTTTGTTTGGACCCGTTGAATTCGTTAGATAATGATTTCTATATTGAAAAAGTGTATGCTGCTATTTGAACCTTTTTTTGCCACCCTCCATCAGTTCATTTATATTGAATGAACCTTGTTTCAATCAGAAATGATTCTATCATTGATGTATCCGCAATTCAATATGGATAGATATATCCAACATATATATGTTTCTCCCTCCCTTTCATTTTTACTGTGCAATTTGGAATAGTGAAATGGTCAACATTCATCCTTCCTTTTTCTTTGTCCTCACATAATGTTTGGTATGTTTTACCGTGATTGAGGTAGATCGAGAATCTATATTTTCTTTCACATGGATGATATTGAAGGGGGAAGAGAGCAGACAGCAGAACATCTTAATCTAGAACTTCATGGCTGTTTCATCAGAATTCAATACTTTTTAACACTTCCAGAAACAAATTTATTGTTGCACTCAGTTGCAGTTGTTCTCAACCAGAGAAGACTAAAATGTTGATAAATTTGGCATTGTTAAAATTGGATGACTGCTTATCACACTAGGATGTAAACAGACCTGTTCATCATTGCCATAAAAATTTATGCAAGAAAAACAAATTAACTCTCAACTAAACAATAATTGCTCTGATTAATATTTAATAATAAAGAAAAACAGCAAACATAATGTTCGTTTCTAATTCAGTTTCCAATTATTTTCTGACTAAAGATTTATGCATTTAGTTAAAATGTCAGATGATCAGCCAGCCCAGGTCCATATGTCCCATCCTATCTTCATTTGCAAAATTTTGTTCATATTCCATTATTTATTTATTTATTTGACAGCACTTTATAGTCTCCTAAATCAGAGTAAAGAAAGAAACTTTGGCAACCTGTTCAGTTCCATAAATCATATATTATCAGTGAGAAACGTTGAAAACTCACCTGCTTGGGCTCCAGTGTCAAAGGGAGAGCTCATTGAGTTGTGATGGCTTGATGGCAAGGAAGAAAATACAGATGACCTTTCCTCAAACATGTTCCTTGTGGTTGCAACTGAAATAGAATGCCGCCTTGGTGGAGAACCTGGAGGAGTAAGTCTCGGTGTGCTACCAAGTGATGCTAATGAACCAAATACTCTGCCCTCTTTGGAGCCTGAAACAAAGCACTAAAAATGACTTATGAATTGAAGTATCTAATATTGGTCTCCATCAAAATGCTAAACATAATAATCAGCATACCATCTATTTCACCAGAACCACCTTGCTCTGAAAGAGAACTTCCAGTTTCAGATAATCGGCTTTGCTGAGAATATTTTATTGGAGATGATCCAACTTCGTCATCTGACAACAATTACAAAGAATTTCCAACAGTGAACTCATTCAGTGTCCTAAGTCTTATTTATCCACCACATGATATATTTATGTTACATGAATCTTTTCGGTGATGCTATATACCATTGATAATTTAGAGTGATCTAAGAAAACTTATTTGAAAATCAGGATCAGTTGGTGCAATACCTTCAACAAGCGATCCACTTGAGAAACTAGCTGTTTCTGAAATTTTTGGTGCCACCCTGGCAACTCCTTGCTGCACAGAAATGATCGTGGTTAAATCACTACTTTATTGACTCCAAATACTAAAAACTCAAAGTTGAGCAAAGTACGAATGAGTAATTTTACATCATCCACACTTCGAACTAGAAAATCTTCAGTGAGAGGATTAATCTATTAAAATCAATCCATTAAAGAATGAAGATTTTGCAACATAGTCATTAATTCATTAATGCATGTAGATTTTGCAACATAGTCACTTACTGGACTTTCTTCTTCATCTTGCAGAGACTGCATAAGTGTCTTCTTAAAAATTTCCAACTACACAAAACAAATGAAGATATAAGAATACTAAGAACAAACAGTATACTAAAGAATTTAACTGACAGGTTTAGCATTTGCTAAAAGATGATGAAATAGAGAGATCTGATAGGACTTTATTGCTTGTTACTGACAAGTCACTCATTCTTCTCAATTCCCATTGTCTCTGCTATAAAAATCATGAACATAAGCCAGGTGTAGAGCTGAAAGAAATTTGATAAAACCAAGATAAAATGATGTTGATTCCTACGTGAATAGATTAGACTAAGATGCATAGAGTACACATTTGAATCCCAAGAAGACAATTTTCTCTTAATCTTTCAGACACAACAAAGTGTTCCTTAAGCAACTGAGCACAGACGGAAATTATCAGAAAGTCTTGTTCCAAGATCCATCAGAGATACGAAAATCCCTGACCTATCATGTAATAATTCTCGTTAATATCATTCAAGCCTTTGTCACATCAATGTATTCATAGGTTATACAACAGAACATAAAACCAGACAGGCTTCAATACTTGTAAGACAAAATTTTACAATCAATTAGCTGGTTGTTAACTCCACCGAGCTGCTGATTTTTCAAGAAAACTAAAAAAGTTGCTTACCAAGTAATAGTATGCGCATAATATGGGAACATTTACATTTTGGAAGGTGCACGGTGGATAAATTCAAATCAATTGGCTGCTTCCAAGTAGCCAATTCAAAGTACTGAAGCATAAAACCTATAGGACTAATACTGCAGACTGAGTTTAGCTTAAGAGTCTTGCTGCCAATCGAGGAAGCTTGCTCTGGAGGTCAAATTGCACCCCTTAGTTGCAACAGCTTCTTAAAGGAGTGTGTCAAAGAAAGGGGAGTGCACAATTTGAGTTGAACATTATAATGTTCAGGTTCTAAGTGTATAAACCAATTCAACATAGACTCGAATTCTTTCTTGAGAAGAAAAAAAATGTGGAACTTTAATTAATTACCATCCAAAATAACCGGGACAGACCAATTCTAACTTGGTCTCTGAAATAGAATCGAAGTTTGTCTATAGAAAAACAATGCTGAACAAAGGGATTGACCCTTATCGAGAAACTTGGTAATCTATTAATCAAACAAAATCTGATTCGGAGATGAACAAACTGAAGTGCAATGAATGGGAAGAGGAACAAGTACCCTGGACACATCTCGGTTGAGCTTCTTGATGGTGTTGGATAGCGTCGCGTTCTCGTTCAAGAGCGTCTCCTGAGAAGGGCGAAGGGCATGAGAAAAGAGCCGACGGACCAACGGTGGGGTTCGCAAAGGAGCATAAGAAGAAGAGGCGTCGGACCTTTTCGTCCTGGGCGCGGCCGAGCCGGTCGGAGACGTCGCCGAGGGAGGCGTCGAGGTCCTCGAGCTTGGCGCGCAGCTCGGCGACGAGGTCGTCCCGCTCGGAAAGACGGAGGCGGAGGGCGGAGACCTCGGACTCGAGGGCGGAGATGCGGGTGGCGAGGGCGATCGAGGTGATCTTCCGCGCCACGTCCAGCTGCTCGAAGGGGTCGGTGGGCAGCGCCGACAGCACCGCCTCAGGCAGATCGAAGTCGGGTGGGCCCCCACCCGATGCCTCCGCCATCTGCCTCCCCCTCGGCCTTCTTGCTCACCCCAACACTCCTCCCCCTCTTTGTTGGATTCCTCTGATTACTTCCGTTAAGATGGGCCGAGACACCAACAAATCATCGGCGCGGTTATTAGAAATAGAAATGGGATGGAGGAGGAGGAGGAGGAGAACGATGTGTGGGTATACGAATGATTTGGTCACAAGGCAGTGGGTGGCAGAGAAGGCACGGATTGGTATGATGAGATAAGGTGAAGGAAGGAATGTGTGGTTGATGATCAAATATATCTGATGATCTAAAGCGCGACAATTACAGGGGGAGTCCTCCGTGAGCACGAACTCATCATCCTTCATTAATCGAGGTGATAAATCTATCATGAGGGAAATTATAAGCATTAAAAACCAATTATTGGTATGCATGATAGATAATATTCAATCAACTTGGTCAAACTATTATCTACTTCGATTTTGACAATTATGCTCGATCGTTTCATGTCACATGTGCAAAGATTATAATTGAATGACCATCTAAATAATTCAGCCGCAATGTATTTGCTATACACACAATCTTGACATTTATACATGCCGAGAAAAGTTAGAGAAATTATAAGAAATACTTTTTGCTGTTTCTGTTTCCTTCCTCACAACACATACACAGTCACGACCGAGACCTAAAAAGTATGAACAATTCAATGGCGAAAGGAAATCCCACCCCTGCATCTAATGATCATCGAGTCCCCCATGAAGCCCCTCTTCAACGCCTCTCACTTGTCTTCTTCCCCCTCTCTCTCTCTCTACTTGCAGGTCTTCTCCCTGCACACTATGTTGGTATGTTGAGGTCACTTCTCACGAACTTTTTATGGGTCCTCCTCTTGCACCCATCGGAGTATCCTATCTCTGTGTCTCCTCGTCATTGCCTTTGTCTTCTTCACCTTGTAGAATCTAGACCTTGTCTCTTCTCACCTCGCCAGACCGCCTTACTCTTCTAAGGTGGGTAACGAAGACCTGTAGAGGTCGTAAGGTGCCCAAAGGTAGTCCACAGCACAAGGCTTTCTGGAGTCCAGCCTCAACCAAGGCTTTCCTTTGCCACTCCAATGGAGAAGGCTGATAGGCCCTGGGTGAAGGCTCCTGCACTTGCCTTCGATGTTGTCTCCGCCCAGGCCGTGCTGGTTCCATCTGTGATCCACTGCCTTGATGTTTCCGGCCAGTACCAGGAGGAATGGTGGCAGAGAACCCAAGTGGTAGATCCGCTTCTGCTTCTGCACCGCCATCCAGTCTTCCACCATCTTGGTGTAGCCACCCGACCTCCACTTCTCGACGTCCATGACCATCACCCCGGTGTTGAAGTAGCAGGGCTGTCGGCCGTCGAACGTGCTGGAGAGCGTGGCGTCCGACCAGAAGGCGTCGGTGAAGTACTTGGTGAAGTTGGCGTGGCAGTACTCCGGCGCCGCCACCACATGGTCTCCGAGCTCCACCTCCCACAGGTGGCGGATGTCGTCGACGACGATGATGTCGGAGTCGAGGTAGATGACGCGGCGGACCTCAGGAGGGAGGATGTCAGCGAGGTAGATGCGCGCGTAGTTGAGCGGCTGGTCGAGGGCATGGCGGATGGAGCGGGAAATGCGGCCGCGCACGCGGGCGGAGTCGAAGCGGTACACGCGGAAGTCGAGGTAAGGGAAGGCGGAGCGGATGCTGGCGAGGACTTCGGCCTCGAGCCGGGCGGCGAGGAAGTGGAAGGTGACACTCTCGGGGCACGAGGTGTGCTGGAGGATGGAGAGGACGGCGGCCATGGTACCGCGCAGGTAGTTGGCGTCGAGGGTCATGGCGATCTCGACACGCCCCGCGGCGGACGGCGACGCGCACTCGTCGCCGTTCCGGAAGGCGGGGGCCTCCCGGAACGCGGGAATGGACGAGGTCGTGCTGGAGGGGCGCCGGATGACATCGACGCGGATGCTGGAGGCGGAGATGGCGCAGTCTGCGGCGACGACGAGGAGGACGAAGGACAGGAGGCCGTGGCGGCGAAGGTAGGAGGCCATCCTGCCTCTACCGGAAACGGAGGTCTTACGAAGGCGGCGTCAGATGCGAAGGAGAAGAGGAGGGAAAGAATCCATGGGGAAAGGTGGAGGAGGAGAAGGTTAAAGGAGTGATAACAGGGTGGGGCGGGCGAGAACAGCGGCGGATCCTTCGACGGTGGTGGGAAGCAGCGTGCGGAAGCGCGCGACGCACGGGAGACCAGCTCCTCTGCGGTGGACTTCATCCGGTACTAATATCTAACGAAGCCTATTCCTGCCGGTGGAAGGCACGTTGAGGTTGACGAGGGGTCAACCGAAGCAATCCAAGGAATGCTCCAAAGTTAGACAAGGAAGGAGGTGATCGAAACAAACGCCACTTCTACTGCCATTAGAAAGCTGAGTATGGCACGCAGAGAAGACGGAAGACTGAAGGCATTCAGATACACAGAGAGCAACACTTATTTGTGCGCGTGTATATATATATATATTAAAGAGAGATTCTCATGCAAACAATCATCCTTACTATCATCATGGAGGTTCACTATATTGATCCATACTTCTTGATATAAATGATATATATCGATCGGATGGAGAATCCATATACGAACCACCCTTTACTAAACAATACCATAATTTAACTCATATCAGATGATACGAGGTATGTACCAAGCGATCGAAATTCGATTATTACCGATGAAAGGCTGAGACTACCCCATTTTAAATAATCAAATTGACAATTTGAACTAGAGGAATAGGTTTTTTAAACTCTTTTTGCCCCCTCTTTTAATTCATATTACTCTCTCAATCTCTTTAACTTTTTAAAACTCATTCTCAATCACATCTCTCTCGTTCTTATATTTTTACTCTCATAAACTTAACAAAGCTATGATTTATTGATCGGATCAAATTTCACACGATTAAGAATAAGATCTTCCTCAATCTAAATATGGCGGAAGAAGCGGATGACAGAGTACATCGATAATTGGTCATACTTCTTCGAGTAATAGTACGATGACCGATCTTATGATATAAAATAGCATATTAGTGATGAAAATGAAATTTATGATATTCTCCATGCTCCACAGCAATTCATGCCATAATCATATTTATTTTAGGAGTGGACATATGTGATTCACGATGATCAAACTATGATTATCACTATATTAATGCACCAGTGACATATGGTGTATCAGTATACTATGCTATGGAATCAAATTTAGGATTAAGTTTGATAAACATATCAAATTGATATACGAATACATAGAATCGAGGATTTCGATCCATCACTTGTAGAGCTCTATCGTTCTCTTTCGTGGTAGAACTAAGTATATTAATTGATTGATTACTTGATTTATTTGAATCTTAAAATTTAAATTATTAATAAAAAATTAATAATTTAAATTATTTATTTATAGATAATTCAATATTAACGAAAGGATAATTCGAAACGTATCACAAAGTACTCCTCCAAAAAAGATATTTATCACTATTCTTTCCTAAGTTAGATTTTTTTACTAAAATTATACTACATTTATATTTATTTCCAATTTAGAAACTCTAATCTTTTTTTTTTGTTTTTAGGTTTTTAGAACTATTTTTAATATTTTAAAAATGTTTAGGTATATTTGGAGCTATTTTCACAATCTCCCTGACATATCATTAGCACACCACAATACTTATCATACCGATCATTGGTATACCAAAATGGATTGAAATTATGAATCTTGTTTATTATAATTTATTTTTTTTAATTTTTAATAAGAAAACTTGAAAGATTAGGAAAAATATATTACTTTTTCAAAATTAACTTTTTTTATTTCTAGATTATTTATCTAAATTTTTTTATTCCTGTCCACCTTTCAACAGCTTTCAATGTGTATTTTCCTAAATAAAATTCTTGTTTACGATCCAGGAGAACAATTTTTCTGTAAGAAGTTAATTTTTAGTCACATATCCATCCACATGTGTGACTGAAAATAATTTTGAGACTATGCCTTAGTTTAGTTTTTGAGAAACACTCTATATTATTTATCATTTTTTTTTATAGAGTATCCATTGCTAAATATGATTTTTTTCCCTAGTGAATATAATTTACAGACTATTTTTGCAAGATGTGAGAGTGTTTATAGATTTTGCCATGATAACTTTCTTAATTACCATAATCTTATGATCATTAAAAATAACTCAAAATATATATTTATCTAAATATAGTTCTTTTAATAATACAAGAGAAAATTATTTTCATTTGAAAAAGTTAAATTTTAGTTAAATACCCATCCATATTTCTGTCAAATATGTGGTTATATAGCTTGTTGTGGTTTTTTCATTCTATTCTAAATTGTGATTAAAATTTTATACTTAAAAAATATAATTAATAAATATGGATTAATTTCTTTTTTCTTCCAAATAGGTGATGAAGATTGGATTTAAGGATTTTTCTATTATCAATCAAAATCTTTACTAGTTAAACTATTCAACATCTTCAAAAATTATCAAGCAAGATTCTAACATAGAGATTTAAATTTTTAATCCATATTATACTCAACTATATGTATTTAAAATTTTTTTTATCAAATCGGAATGAAATCGAATTAGACTGAAATTAAAATCAATTCGACTCGATAACTCATTATATCTAAATCGAATCAAAATCCGAGATAGATGGTTTGATCATGAGTCACTATTAAAACAAATATTTTTAAATTATAAATAATCTTATTTTAACTTATTTTAATTAAAAATAAAAATCATCGATCCAAACCAAAATTAGAAACCATAATCAGTTCCGGATCTTAAATCGTAGAATCCGAAACCCATGTCAGGTCTTGAACTCTTTTAAGCAAATAAGTTGCTCCTAAGAACTAACTCAATTAAACTTTTAGAATATTCTGGAACCACATACTTTTGGGTCCCGCATGGTCCTTGGCGTGGCAGAAACACATCACCATGAGTTTGTCACCCACTGGCATACCATCCGCCTGACTCCTACCGATGAGACTATGAGCCAGCGGGTATTCTTTGTTAAGCTGACGTCTCCACTCATCGAACCGGACCGGTCGGAACCGAATCATACTCGACAAAAGCAGTCCGCATCGAACCGTGTCGACGTCTACTTTTCTGGAGCGACTTTGCTTTGGGGCGAAGAGAGGGAGTGCCAGTCGAGGCGAAGCGCGCCGATGTCCTTCTTGTTCAAGTCATCGCCGCGGCCCAAGCCGACGCCGGCGGAGCTCGCCAAGGCCATCAAGGAGAGCTTCTTGGCCCTCGACACCAGCACCTTTGCTAAGGTCGTCTCCCCCCCTCTCCCCTCTGATCCGGTCTTGATCTTCTCGTGTTTTCCGATCGACCGCCGGATCATTAAATCTGCTTATTTCTCCTAAATGCGTTGTAGATCTAAGATTTGAACGGATCGCTTGCGATTTACTCAGTTTGCATTATGTCAATTACCTATCCGATCGAGTTATTTGTGGAAATTTCTTTGATGTTCTCGATCTTCTGCTTTTGAGATGCCGTTTTGTTCGATCTGCCTGTTTGGGCGTGGTTGATAACTCTTATGCGGGCTTTTGGATTCTTCTTGAACATATTCAGTCCGATTACGGAAGAAATCTCTCAATCCTGTGCAATTTTTTGTTTCCACCAGTGCAGTCCATGTTCTCCAGACGTTGATCTGGTGAAAGACTGAAGTAGCTAACATATTGTCGATCCTCTACTCCATGCTGTATAGCATATGATATAGATTGTCTCGGACTTTGATCCTAGCAAGGATGCTTTTAGTGTCCAATCTTGATCATATATATCTAGAAGTATGAATCCTGCAAATAGTATCAAGGTTTTCAATACTTTAGTACTAAACTAATAACGAGACTATAAGAATATTGATGCCACCTTCGCCCATATATATTTCATTTGTCTAGGCTCTAAACTCATTGTCCCTTCTTCTTGAAAGCATGCTGCAGCACAAGTCTAGAACTAAGATCTTCATGCGTGCATTCCTATCCTATGCTGGCGAGCACCCAATTCTTTGCCTGCTGGCTGACCTTGTACTCGTAGAGCAGTTTTGCTTTTGTACTTTGTAATTCTACTCACCTTCAACTGTCACACTTGTATGTTTAAAGGCAGCTTAATTACACTTTCTTTGAATATATCAGAGCCAATGCAAAGTGAATCTTTTAAGAGAAATATGTACAAAGCAAATCTAGAGAGATAGTGATGTCTTGCACATCTTTTCATTATTTCATTTTCTAAGAAATTATATTTTGTTATGTTAGGCTCTTGAAGAAGTTCAAAAGAATATCCTTTCTATGAGACAAATGCTTTCAGGGGATGGAGAAGTTGAACCAAATGATGATCATATTTCACAGTTGGCTATTGAAATATGCAAAGGAGATGTTCTTGCTCTTTTCGTTCATAAGTTGCCATCATTGAGTTGGGAAGTGAGTTTAGCTTTCATTTGATGTAAGTTTAATCATCAATGGTGCCAAAGCTAATTGATGCTTTCATAAGCAGGCCAGAAAAGATTTGGTGCACTGTTGGTCCAGTTTATTGATGCAGAATTGCTGTGTGGAATATATTGAGAATAATTTGGAACTTGTGGATTTCCTTGTCATCTGGTGAGTGCTGTCTCTTGTGCATAGTTGATTTGTCACCTAATCTTCAGTATCTACAACAATACTTTCCTATCTTCCCAGTCATCCAGTCATAGGGGAGTGGTCCATTTTTTTTTTCTTTACTACCATTCACTGTTAGGATTCTTTGCATTGTTTCTATATTTCAACCGTGTCATCTTTCTGTTTAGCTGTATTTCAGAACCTTTCTGTTTTTTTCCTCCTTGAGTTGTTGAAGTTTCCAATTAGTCAGTCTTGAAGCTTCATTGAGTTAGTTCTTTTCCGAGCAGCTACAACAACAAAGAAATTGCATTGAGCTGCGGTAACATGTTGAGGGAGTGCATCAAATATCCAACTCTTGCAAAGTAAGCTATCAGAAATCCTTGGGTTGTTGTAATCATTATCTTTCTATCTTATTCTTCTGTTAACATTTCTGCAAGTATATAATCAAATTAATCATCATACTTCATGCTTAAATAATTTAGATTGGTATTTATGTTTAGCTTTCTCAAAATTATGAATATGGTCATATTGTTATCGGTTATCGGTGTTCTTTTTGTTTCATGTGCTTGTCCAAACTAACCATGAATTATATGTCTGGGTGTTTTTGATGAGGACGTGATGTGACATCATCTGCATCTTCAAAATTCCACTAATTATAGCCCCACAGATGCTACTCATTAATTGAAGTTATGCTACTCATCATATTTATAGTTCACAAATTATACCATTCTTGATAAAGTAACATAACTTTTTTTTACCATTCACTGGAAAGTAATCACACAAAATTTTTTTACTCGAAAATGTGTTTGTGATATTTATCTATATATGCCTAGACTTTTTCTGCTGAAACATCTATTGAGCAAGACAAGAATTTTATACTCTAATTACATTTTCTATTGGCAAAAGAATTTGACATTGTTCAGTTTGCCCATCCAGTCAGCCTCAAACAGGACATTATAGATTTTGGTGACATTTGGATGGCAAGTCTACATCAGGATTTTCATCACAGAGTGGTCCATTGATATAAAGTATTATATGATGGTTTATTTATGTAGGATAGAGTTTTTTTTTCTCAACCAACATTAATTACGCAAAAAATGCTCATGAAGTGCCCCTCAAGATCAGAGGAGACAACAGGAGAAAAAGGTGGTATGAGAATATCTTGCAAAAATTGTCACCCAATTGGCAAGACCTTTAGCTTCTCTATTACATGCTGGATTCTAAGAGCCTCAAAAAGACTTAATAAACGGAAAATTTCCATTGACAACATTTAAAATCCTCCAAGGAGGGATTCTTCTGTAAGATTATAAACCAAATTGAGTGCATCACACTCCAACTACAAGCATTTGATGCCTTCCTTCAAAGCAAATTGAGGCCTTCTTTAATAGCTAGAATCTAACAGCCTTTAGCATATTGTCCTCGGTGAATCTGCTACCTGCAAACAGAACATTATCATTAGAATCATAAATGGCAAAGCCAATACCATGATTCTTGTTTGGACTAGACCAAAAACCATCTGAATTAAGTTTGAACCAACCCTACAGCAGGTGTCTCCAATCTACTTCATGAGAAATCTCTCATTTGTCCCTTCAGGAAACTTGGAATCAGCAAAATTGCCTTGGGTTTAGGCTGATTAAATTTGGCATCATTTCTAGTTTGCCGCGACAGAAACCAAAAACCCATGGCAATTAAGGCTCTTAGGATCAAAAACATTCAACAAAGACAAATCATCTCCTTCACTGAGCCAGCTTCCCAAGTGCCACTCCTTCATGCTGAAGTGGATGTTCAGATGGAGCTGAAAAAAGAATGTTTACTGAGAATTGACATTGTAAAAAGAGGTGGTTAATGGATTGAATGTCATTTTCACATAACCAACAGAGACGAGGAGGAGCTGTCTGCATGGTGGCAAGCTCGTCAACAGTAGGGAGTTTTTTGTGCAAGAGTTCCCAGTAGAACAGGACTTTTTTGGCTGCTGGCAGCTTCCATAAAGCCTCTTAATGTTTGATTACACTAAGTTGGGTCATTTAAAGGCATGTAGTTTGATTTCCTACAGCTTCAAGTAATCCTTCATGCTTGTCTATGATTGACACCTTGGATAATTCCAAGTGTAGTGACACTAAACCTGTGTTTTACCATTGGTCCATTAAGGAACATGGCATCTTAATTAACTTCATGTATGAGTATGATAAATAAAACTGTAATATTTACAGCTAGGTGTATAAGGAATTTTAAACATAACATTTGCATTATCTTATGACAATTAATTTTTGATTATGAATGCATTTTGATTTTGTAGTGATCTTTCAGATGTATCTTGGAATCAAATAGCTTTGAATTATTTTTCAAATATGTGGAACTGCCGACCTTTGATATAGCTTCAGATGCTCTTGCTACCTTCAAGGTCAGTTTTAGTAACACTCTGCGTTTGGCTTTTACTTATCATCATGCTGTAGACTCCAGAATTATGTTCATGCATTCTCCTATATTTACTTATGGACAATTTTTGCAGGACTTGCTTACAAAGCATGAAACTGTGGTCTCTGAATTTCTGATTTCACATTATGATCAGGTCTGCTAATAAGTTCTTCATGTACCAACTCAGTTGTTCATTGATTAAATTTTCCCAAATCCAACTTATTGTGATAATTTGCTGGAAAGTTGTTATGTTAGTTGGGTAAGATGTTTCGGCGTGCTCTGTCAAGTTGTCTGATTGAAGAGTGTCGTTGCAGTTCTTTGAGCTATATGAGAAGCTACTGACATCTCCAAACTATCTAACAAGAAGACAATCCTTGAAGGTTAGTTCTATCAGTAATCTACATTTAGCTTCCGTCTCAAAGTTTCTGTCTTTTATAATTGCATTCATGTCAATTATTGTTTAGATTCTCTCGGATTTCCTTTTGGAATCCCAAAATCTGCAAACAATGAAGCGCTTCATTCTAGAAGTTCGATTCTTGAATATTATGATGGCACTATTAAAGGTACATGATTTTTCATCATATTTCTACAACTCTAGTTTTACTAGCTTATTGTATGTTTCTTAAAGTATATTTTTGGTGTTCGTGCTATTATTTCATGGTTTCTATGTTTTCCAATGAGATCTTTAATATTTGGTATTTTAATGGTTGGGGATCCTGTGCATATGTTCAGTAATATGCAAAATGATAGAGGAGTTTGATTCTATTTAAATTATATATAGATTCATATCCAGATGCCTGTTAAGAGGGCGACAAACTTATATTAGCTCCAGATAATCTTTCCATAAATGGTTATGCTGCTTAGTTCTGGTATATAGCTCATATGAGTGGGCACAAAATGTGTTTTACCCTTTCTGTCCCTTATTTCAGTAAAATTGCATCAGATCCTGACAGATATAATTTATTAAAATCCTCTCCCTCTTAACCACTTGACCGGCAACCCCTATCTGCAACCTTTCTCTATTTTCTCTATCTCCACCCTCGGTTCACAATCCAACACTTGATGAGGAGTTTAATCACTGGTAACATATAAAATTTGTCCTGTCCATTAAGACCACAAAAGCAACAGGAGCCTTCGGCATCTAAATAAAGATACATATTGAAGCTGCTTAGTCACCAGTGTCAAGATAGTGGATCTTTGATTTGATGATGGTTTCAAAGGTAATTAATTCTATACTATTTTATATGATTTGATGTCTTAAATGTTTGGCTACATTAAGAATCAAAAGGATTAGAATGTGGCTAAAGCTCTATTTTCCAGGCCTTAAGAGTTTGACACTGCATGCACAGCTGAATGTTTCTTTCTTCACATGGACGGGTGAAAGTTGTCCTGATTTAAGAAATTTCTGCTGATAGACTGTTTTCTCAATATCCTGTAAAAAGATAATTGACTTCAGCTGTCAACACTTCATCTAGTTATTTTCTGCTTGAACTAGGGAACCTCCAGAAAGAGAAGAGAATGCCTATGAACTTTGAAATCTGTTTGCTTGGAATGACTGCCAAAATTTCTGCTCCATAGTTGGCTATAGAATGTTTAAATATGTACCTGATGTCTTGAAATTGATTTCTGGGATAATTGTTCTTTTATGCTGTTTCTGTTTCATTTGATATCATTTGTTTGGGGTGTTTATATTAAGTTTCAACTGTCATATAACATGTCCTAATTTTATGTGTACATTTTTGTGTTCTTGTCCATGTGCCATGTTCTTTTCAGGACACAAGCAAGAATATCCAGATTTCTGCCTTCCACATTTTTAAGGTAGCTTGTCGCTCACATCCTTTTGACACATTTTATGTTACATTTTTTCTAATTGTATGTTCCAACTAGAAACCTGCTGACAGTGGGTATTTCTTATGTTTTCCTATCTTCTGATGTTTAACATGAAGATAGGAAAAGTATTTCACAGTTGCTTATGGTTCTATGTCCTTGTATTGCCTTAAAAAGTATTTCGATTTTGTATCTAAACTCGATCTGACTACAGCTTGAATGTGTGCATTCTCTCTATGGCACATTTTCATAGTATTTTGCTAGGGTTTCTGAAAGGGTTATTTGCTATTTAACCAGGAAGATGATGTGTTCTTGATATAAATAGCAATAGGTTTTTAACTGAAGCCTAAGCTCCAGGAATAAGATGGGTTCTTTCTATTATTAACAATGGTTTTTTAATGGTTTAAGAGACAGTTCTTATGCAATTTTTATCGGCTTCCTACTAATAAATGTTCTTGTACAATTCTTTTTCTTGAAATTAGGTATTTGTGGCTAATCCAAACAAGCCACCGGTAATTATCAATGTCTTGATAGACAACCATGAAGAACTTTTGATGTCACTGCAAAATCTTCCTATGAGCAAAGGTAAAATGCTCTGTCATTGCATCTGTTCTTCGACAAGCTATCCATCAGACATGTTCATGCACAAAAGAGATTGGAAAATATCAGTATGGTTAGGCCAAAAAGGAACAAATAAATCATCATTCTTTTTACTTTCACATTGGCTCCTACCTCTGTTTTCCCCTCCACAACCAATAAACACATGAGCCGCTGATAAATAAGATGCATCTTTGAGTAGTTGTTTCTCTCTGACCGGCACTTGTATTAGCTGACAACTACTACTTTCACTTTGTGTGTTACTGTAGGTGAAGATGATCAATTTGAAGAGGAGAAAGATCTAATCATCAAGGAGATCGAGAAACTTTCGGGTCTATGAAATGCCAGTACATAGGTCTGCCTTCCTAATTAATTATATACATCTACTTTATTTGATTATAATGTTTGCGAGGTGTTCATCATGGCTCTCATTCATAAAGGTATTTTAATGTTTAATTAAACCTGGTTTTAGATCAACACTAGTGGAGATGGGTGTATCTTTCTCTATCTGTGTGTGCTAATCAATAGAACCGTGGTGACCCCAAGGACGAGATAGGACATAGCAACTCTTTTGTGAAATCACTGTGGAACTTGTTACATAGATGGGACAATAGAACTCTGGTTGGTAAACCTGTTTGAAATCACTATGGAACTCTTACGGAACTGCTGTTGATATGCCCATACAAAGGACGTAGCAAACAAGTTTGGTATTGTTCCAGTGAGTCGTTACAAGGAACATATGGTGAAAATTAAAATGACAATAGGATGAGTGCCAAAAAGGATCAATATAGTTGTTGAAAGTTGCATCAAGTTGATGTATGAAGAGATAATGCACACAAAAGAGAGACCGTTCTAAGGATATAATTGCAATTCTGATGATATTTATTTGAGCCAAACTTCTATGCCTCTTATCATCCCAAGAAAAAAAGGGAAGTAGTGTACCCTCATTAACTATCGAATCTATTTAATAGGGTTGTTTCAAAGATTGATTGATCTGATTTGATTAATCAGTTTATAATTTTAAATAATTTTTGGTTCAATTGGATGATAATATAATATTTATGAAATTAAACCCATGTTTAATTAATCGATTAAGGGTTTTAGATAATTAATTCAATAGAGTTGATTTTTTTTAATTAAAATTAATTTAAATCAATTTTAACCAAAGAAGGATATCCCAAATCAGAATCATTCATAAAATCAATTTGGTTCATATTTATTTTTTTGTTTGACTTAAATACCCTTGGGTCCCATAATGGATCGTTCCGTTTGGGTGAGAGGGTGGCGAGTTACGGAGGAGGAGATGAGTTTTTATTTGTTTTTGGCGCGAAGGTTAGATTCTCGAGGTGAGAGGGTGGCGAGTTCTGCTGCCACCGCCCGCCGTGAGATGGTGGCGGACGCTTCTGCTGCCACCCCTCCTCCCCCCGCTCCTTCCCTCCCGATCACACATCATGCTTTGGATGAATACTCAGCAATGTGCTCTTATGGACGGTAAGACAACTCATCTAATCCATACCAGCAGTACACAAATCTAATTCTCAGAGCCAAAAAGAGAAAACCAGCAATACATGCTAAACCATAAGCACATTAAAACTCTACCCACTCTTGTCTACGAGAACACAGTTCACTGGATCACAGTTGCCTTGCTCCATATTCTGACCTAGAGAAGATTGCTTATGTACACCATCAATGGATAACACATCCAAACCCATTTCTCGTCTTGCAGAATCCGCAACCATATATTCAAGCTTTCAGCAAAGAATACAAACTCGGGAAACCATAAATTCGCAGCCAAAATCGAGGAAATCTGTAACATAATCCCCAATAGTTTCCTACATGGAAGAAGCAGCTATTTCAGAATATCGGCGAAGCAACAACAACATTCCATGAAGTCGAATCCTAGTAACAGATTATCTTTCCGCTACATTCAAACGTCGTCTTGCCAATGTCTTGAAACATATTCAATTTTCTCTAGCAACAAATCAGTTGTCAGTAGAGGAAGACAAGTTCTAGACAACAATACCAACAGAAGGGTTCTCAAGTCAAAGCCTCTCGCTCAAATCTCTCATCTTATGGTGCTAACATCTTAATTCATACAGATCCAAATAAATTAATCAAGTGCAAATGTTTCTTCAGCCTAAGAAGAATTACTTACGTAGTCTGACTTGCGTTCTGTCCTTCAGAAAATTAACTGTCATAAAGCAACAAAAAAGCATTTCTACTAGTCCTAGTGTGACAAACTAACAGATGATACGGTACACAAGTATGAATAAAGCAATTTGTGACATAATCTGGATATGCAATACATGATTCTCCATACACCAGGAAGAAAATAGTCGATTTCCACACAGCAATTGGTTACATATACGTGTTGCGTTGCACATCAATCCACACTATTTTTTATTTATTTTATAATAGTAGCTTCGTGTGAGATGCACAAACACAATATGTGATACGCATAAAGGGATACTATCATAAGATATGAATCTAAAAGAAGAGACATAGCGTCGAACATTGTCACAATCATAAAACATCAAGTATCAGAAAAGGCTAGAGAATCTAGATGGATAAATGAATTACTTTGATGTAAAAGCATATACGACAACAGATCTCCAACTTTAGTATCACATACAATATATTTAGTTTACCGATCACTGAAATAGAAAGTTGTGAGCAAAAAGATCAAGAACAATTTGCATGAAGCAGAAACATTTCTAACACATGTTAGCACAAGTGGTAAGACAATTGTAGTATCTAATTTCGAATGAAGACGAGTAGACAAAATAAAGGCATTTCACTGACAAAATAAAAGAACTTGGAGTACATTCAAAATGCCCCAAACAATTACCAATGACCGCAAGCAACCATTATGCGCTTAACTAAAGTACACAACCCATAAACCGACACATGCGTTCATAACAGAGGTACCCATGGTCTAGCATCGGTAGCTGGTTGGTCCTAGCATTGACGCATCTGCAGCAGGTCAAGATAATCAAAAATCAAACATTTCAAGGAAGCTAAAATAAGTAGTTCTTTTTTTCTCACTTCGACAAAAACTTCAGAATTTACTTTTCGGATCAACAGATATATGAACCACTCTAAAGTACCTTTTAATCTATCCAAATGCTAAAGATTTTTTCTATAAACATATTAACTATGAAGACTGAAAAAGAAACAAATTCTGCATAATTTATCAAAAATAAAGAAAGAAAGCATTCGAGCTTAGAGATTGTAAACATCTTTACCTTGAGTTGATTCAGGTATCCTTGCGGCCACTATCAGCAAGTACCAACAACTCCCTCTTCCTTAACAAGCCCACCTTGAGAAGCTTTGAGGGCTCCTGTTTCATCCCTCACCACTTGACCCATGGGATTGGGGGCATGAGCCAAACTAGTCAACCTACCCTTCGCCTCCTCGTCCACGACATGGTTCTGCACCCCTATCAACGGATCCGCCTTATTCGTAGCTTCCACGGTGCCCTGAACTGGTGTCTGCGCCATCCCTATAGGCTCCTGAAACCTCATCCATCTATCCCGCTCTCTGTTTTGAACTCTCTTCTGTCCCACCATGGCTGCAACTGTGCTACTCAACTTCGGCATCTTTTTCTTTGGGTCCATGACTTCAGGTCTGGGATCCGGTGCTGCAATATGATCGGTTTCCTTGCTCTTCTTCTCCTTCTCGGTCTGCGACAACAGAAGAACCTTTTCGAGGGCTTCCCTCGCTCGCTTCCTCGCAACCGCTGCCTCCCTGACCTTCCTCTCGGCGTCTGCCCTGGTGGCCGCGGCCGCCCTGCCCATGGATACGGCCGCCAGTTTCGCGGCGGCCAGAAGCACCTTAGCCGACTTGAGATCTATTGATTTCTCCGCCACGAGCGAGAAGTAGGAGGAGGAACCACCAAGGTCGGAGCAGCTAGGGCAGACGAAGGATGCGGCGGGATTCGGGAGGCAGGCGGAGTGGGCGACGGCGGGGCAACCGGAGCAGCGCACGACAGGCGATGTACCGCCGTCGAGGAGGAGATCGAAGCAGGAGGTACAGAAGGCGCCGGGGTGGTAGCGGAGGACGCAGGAGGTGCAGAGGCGGCAGAAGACGGTGCGGTGGCGGACGTGGTGGAGCGGCCAGGGGTCACGAGCGCCACACCCGTCTCCGCCGCATCCGGCCGGCCGGAGGTCCCTCTTCACCTGAGCGTGCGTCGTCATGGCCGCCGCACCATCACGATTCACGGCCTCGAAACCCTATAACAAGAGAGATCTCGCGTCGTGGACGTAAGCGTCGAGGCCTCCCCCAAATCAATCGAGAGAGAGAGAATTAGCGCAATCTGTCGCAATTTCGGGGATTCTTCTCCCCTCGTCTTTGAGCTTCGTTTTAGGGTTTGGGGTTCACTCTCAAACGGCTCTCCGTGGTCCGGTGCGGCCACGAGCGAACTCGGTGGGACCAGCAATCGAGAGAGTAGCCCGTCGGGTGCGCGTCGTTGGGTCAGTTTTCCGCAGTCAAAAAGCTGCTAACCTCGTGCAATGCACGTGATTTTACCGTAGGTTTCCGAAGACGTTCTCCTCGATGTCTACGTAATTAGGCTCACTTCGATCTCAGCCACGTGGCTTCATTCCGTGTGTGTGATCACTCCAATCTTGGATAACCAACGGTTAGATGAGAGGAAACCACTATCACGTGCATTTGGGTACAATGGACTCGACGAGATCACAAAACGGTTCGGCCCAATCGCCAATGTGCCGTCGTGATCGAAGGATCCCAAGAGAGGAAGCAGGGGAGGTGATCACCGTCGCCTTTTCCCCATAGCCGGAGCACTAATAATGAAGCAGAAGATGAGACCCTTCAAAAGACGAGTTCTCCTTCCGTTCGCCCTCCTCTCCTCTCGATTCCCCTTCCCCCATTCCGTAGAAAGTTCTTCATTTCTTCTCTTGTTTCTTCCCGTGTGTGGCAGAGGAGCGGCTCGCGGAATCGAGGGATATCCTCGCCAAGTACCCCGATCGAGTGCCGGTAATGACCTAGCCTTCTTTGACTCTTGATTTGCCCCAAATCTATCGCGTATTAATGGGTGGAGATGGCGAAGATTTCCACTTGCTCCTATTTGGGAATGATCGTCGTTGCGTCACGTCAATGTTAGAGTCTTGCTGAGCATATTTTGGGTCTTAATTCTACCGATGCCAGTAGCATAGAAAAAGCCCTAATTTTGGGCTTAATTGCGAGAACTCTATAGTCATTATAAATAGTAATTACTACATGTTAAGAATCATGTGAACCTTGTTGTGATTAAGGTGTATTTAGTTTCTATAGTCATTATACATAGTAATTACTACATGTTAAGAATCATGTGAACCATGTTGTGATTAAGGTGTATTTAGTTTCTATAGTCATTATACATAGTAATTACTACATGTTAAGAATCATGTGAATCTTGTTGTGATTAAGGTGTATTTAGTTTCTGGTGTGAGTCAAACACCAGCACATTTTACCAATATAGCTTCCATGATAGTTGCCTTATAGCTATTTGATTTTTCATTTTGCTTCATCGGGTAATTGTTGATAGGTTCTCGAGGAGTGCTCTCCCGGATATGGAAAAGAGAAAGTAAGTCAAGTGTTTCCGCAGCCATATAGTAGCACTTCATCATGTAATAGTCAAATTTGCTGCTTTTTGTTTTTTTTATCATTACATACTTCTAGTTATTTTATTTTTGTGTGTGTGTGGAAGAACTTTTTTTCCCCTTTTCATTATTCTTTGCTTGCATTGTAGTTCTAGTTGTTTATAGGATCGCACTGTTCAAACTTTAAGTGTGCCCTTAACTATGGTTATTTTGTACATTCAATATGCCATGTTGTTAGATGTATTTTTGTTAAAGCAAAACTGCAAGCATCCATATAAATATAACTGTTGAATATTTTGCTCATTTGAATCTCATGTGGTAATATAGTGGTGACGAGTTCTCACCTACTGTGCAAAGGAATAATAGGTCATTTTGTCACATAGTTACCTTTTTCTTAGGCTATGTTAATCTTGTGTATTGTAAAGGTATTTAATATATTGTCAAATGGAAGAAGAATGAAGTAAATTGGCTATGGTAGAGATAATCCCAGGATATAGCTTCATTTAGTCAGTGAGGGACCTCTGGCAATGACTTCTTTGACCTTCTTCTACCTCTCTTTTCTTTTCTTTTTTTCCCAACATGAAAGAAGAATTATATTATCTTATGGAATGGATACAATATAAACCAAGTGATTCTGAAAACAAGATGGATACTAGTGAGTCGGATAACCTCCACTCCAGAATTTACAGGACGGGTAGCTGGACCAAAATTGGCTGCCTAATTGGAACTCTGGACTGTTCCCTACAACCATGTATTTTGAACTCCCGAAACACATTCCAGGATACCAAGAATGACTCTTATAATATAAGCAATAACCCAAGTATGCTTGTCATTGTTGTTCAACATGTCAACCAAAACTTGCAGGTTCTACCTGTAGGCAATGAATGCCAGGCATCCCTTCTGCATTCATTCCTCGATGTATTGTGCTCCACAAAACAGAAGAGCTATCAGCACTCAGTTTATAACATCCCTGTTGGGTCTTTCTCATCTACATGCTCTACAAGGCATCAGTTATAGCCTGGGATTGATTTTTCTTGTTGTTGTTATCTTTTCCTGGAAGCCATGCATCTTTGCTTATGTTATCACTGTTCTCTCATGATGCTCAGGGTGGATACTTGTTATGTTATCAATGTAAGGACATAGCTAGGGAACAACAACAAATCATGGTTTTCAAGTACTTATGCTGATTACATGGATCATTTCCTACCATTGAGTTCTTATAAAGCAATATTACTAGTTGATCAAAAGGACATAAGATGAGTAGGATACTTGAATCAACACATAAAAGATGAGTAGAATACTTGAGAGTCAACACATGTTTACTGGGGGTCAAACCCTTATTGTTGCTAGGAAATAATTATCTAAACTGTCTTACTACAAAAGAAATTATTTGGTGATGTGCATATGGATTTCTCTTGTCTAGAGATTTATATATAAATGACCTTCTTATCGCCTTTACCATCCTTCTGCAGATATCTGGTGCCGAGAGACATGTCTGTTGGGCAATCCATCTACATATGAAGTGATCCTGGGAAAGCCCTTTTTGTGTTTGTCAAAAATACCTTACCACCAACAGGCACTAGTATGTATTGTCTTCTTCATGCATTCACCACAAGATCGATTCATTTCTGGTCATGCGTGCTTCTCCATAACTGATTACACAGCCACACTTTTGGATTCCATATACGAGTCATACAAAGATGTGGACGGCTTACTGTACATGTCTACAGTAGCGGAAAGATTTTTGGTTAAGTAAATATTGATATATATCAATGATCTATATAAACAGTGATTTGTAAATGATGATGTGGATGTTTTATTTGGGGCTAATTATATATTATGCTCTATAGTTAGTTATATTTAACGTCTCAGTCCCTACAATTTAATAATATACATTGATATTTTTATAGTTACGAAGTAAAATATCTAGATTCATTAACACTAACGATATTAGTTTTACCAATAGAAACACGAAAATAAAAGATAAAAAGATAATTTTAACGTTCGGTGATGGATGACATCAGTGGTAGTAGATGACTACGGTGGTAGTGGACGATGGCATCATTGGTGTTGATGTCAACATAATTACTTGGTCGCCTCCGACGACAATAAGGTTCACTCCCATCGCAACACCACTCGCCTCCACGAGGAGTGTCGTGTCGATCTCATCGTTGCCCACCCTACGTCGACGTAGATGGTGGTGGCCACTCTCTATCCCCCTACTCCTTTGCCATCTCATTCTTTTGGGAGCAGCGTCTCAGAATCCTCAAATCCTTTTCCCACCTCATCGAAGCTAAGGATGCCTTTGCCCTCTCTCTTCCTCCCCTAATCTGCTCGCACTCGAAACTCTCCATCATGCGTAAGAAGTGCTTCGTTGCCTCTCCCGATCTATTTGCAATTGTGCATGCCCTTTGCTCCAATGGCTTCCCACACGACTGTGACGATGTGAGTGAGCTCTGGTTAGTGCCTAATGCCATGCCACAAAGGGTAGCGCCCATCGTGTGGGAGACTATTGGAGCAATTTAGTCGACAATAGACATTGCTCTCTATGGCACACTGTCCATCGTGTAGGAGGCCATTACAACAATTGGGTTAGCAATGGATGTGATGCTATAGAGGGCAACATCCATCATACGAGAGGCCATTGGCGTAACATCCATCTATGGCATGTCATCCATCGTGTGAGAGGTTAATGGAGCAATTGGGCCGACGATGGACATCACCCTCTGTAGTGATGCATTGGGCACTAACCAGAGCTCATTCATTTCATCGTCGCCCTATGGGAGGCCATTAGAGCATAGGGTGAGCACAATCACAAATGAGTCAGGGGAGGCGATGGAGAGTTCAAAGTGGGAGCGGACCATGGGAGGGAGGGGGTAGGCAGAGACGTCCTTAGCTACGAGGATGGGAGAGAGATTTGAGGATTTCGGGATGTTGCTCTTAAGAGAATGGGATTACAAAAAAGTGGAAGGATGAGAAACGACCCCCACCATCTACGTTAGGTAGAGTGGACGATGATGAGGTTGATAATGTGTTCCTCGTGGAGGCATATGACATCACAATGAGAGACGACCTTATTGTCATCAGAGGTTGCCAAGTAACTGCATCGACGTCAATGCTAGCGACATTGTTGTGCGCAACCACTAACATCGTCCGAGATGTTTTACTTCCATAATAAGAAAAATGGCAATGTAGAAATCAAAACACAAACCACAAAGGATAACATGTAATTAACCAGTTTTTTATCCGGCTGATGACTACTGTACCTGTGCAGACTAAGTTCTGCTCTTTTGGTCGGTGGCTAGAATGCTGATCGGTAAGACTCGGTTCTTCTCGATAGGAGCGTTTGGCGACGACTGTTAGAAGCAGCAGCAGCAGGTACCACGCACTATCTTTTTTCCTATGCAGATAGGCACCTTCATGAATCACACAAGCTTTCACATCAGACACTTCAAAAAGGAACCTTAATTTATTTCCATGATCAAATTAACTTTGAAGCTCAACAATCATGTATTCTAATGTTCACATGTCAAATTTCTCACTGAAGCTACACATTGTTCCTGAAGCATGGTTTTGATTAGCAAGACAAAATGAAGGGTAGCAAAAGAAATGATCGATGTAATGGTAGTTATGCAGCAGACATGACACAGTCAATAGCTTCTTTGCAAATTCCTGTCATCGTGGCCTCCGGTCCATATACCTGCAACAGACAAGTCATTGGATGAGCATATGGCCAACGAATTCGATAAGCGTCTCCCCTCATAGAGAAGAATACTGTGCATCGAGTTACCTCCAGAGGAACTCCAAGCTCCTCGCCCACTTTCCTCATTTTTGCCAGACCAGTCTGATAATTTGGTCCCCCTCTTCTAACATAGATGTGCATCCTTGCTGCCTTCAGCTTTGATTCCTGTGAATAAATATGGAAGAAGTACATCATGAGTTGGAGAAGATACAAAACGGATGTAATTTGGTGAACTAACCTTCTCTTTCAGTGCCCTGATGATGCCATTGAATGTAGCAGCAACGTCAGTAAAGTTTGCTATACCTCCTCCAATGAGAAGAGCTCTCTTACGGCCATCTGGATCGGCGGTTGCACACTGATACGGAGAAAGACATCGTGTTCAATGTCAATGCTAAGGAGAAGTCGAACAAAGAATGAACCCAAAAGAAGAGAAACAAGAAGGATGAGGGAGGGAATTCATACATCAAGAACGACTCTGGCATATTGAAGAACCTCTTCCTCATTTGGAGCACCACTGTACTCCGCATAGTTTCCAAGTTCAGATGCATAGCCCAGATCTCCGACCTAATAAACGATGAATTCAAATTTCAAGGCAGAAATTTCTGTCATAAGGCTTAACAGACTGAAGCAATCTAATGTGATCAAAGTCCTACATAAATTTTGCGAAAAACTGAGATGTGACGGAAGCAAGCTAACCGTATCAGCATAAATGACACTAGCACCACCACCAGCTACCATTGTCCATATGCGTCCTTTTGGATTTAGAACAGTGAACTTCAAGGAGGCACTGGTCTGCAACAAAGTAATCAAAATCATTTAGTTTGCTCAAAACGGAACGGAAAAAAATCATGATTACAACTCCAACACACAAAATTGGTTGGTTTGTTAGAACAGGATAGGATTTGTACAGCCAGAAGATAATTAAATGATATATGCAATCTCCGATCCTGTGCAAGGTCTAGCATATTCTAAAAAAACTACGTTATCTATATAAAGAAAACAGTATCAAATCAAGCATAAAGAATTCTCATGACCTCTTGCACATGTCCTGCATCTTCTGACAAGAAGATGCTAGATGCCACCAGAAAAGCTCCATAAGGGAGGCAGTATCAGTTGGTCAATGAGTAATTACCGATGTTGAGACAGCTTATAGAGGTAGCTCAAAGTAATAATAATGGATTGGCAAAAAGAAATGTAAATGCTTTACTGGATATCAGGAACCCTCTGTCCTGCAGCTGTTCGTTTAAAGGTAATGGTGAATTCCTAAACCTTACAGCCGATGGCTCATTGAACAGATCTATCTTTACATTGTAACATGCTGGTTCACCATTAGTATCATATATAGAAAAGTTAATCCGTATGATTGCAATTATAAATTGTTGCAGATTTTACAGCAAAAGAAGAGAAGCAACTAAACAGATACAGCATGGAAACATACACAGAATATCAACAAAGAAAGCTTAAACTACATAACAGTTGTCATGCACAGATTAACAATTAATGTTTAAAACCATTCTCACTAATATTTTATGGTCAATATACCATAAAGGTTGAATGTAGAAAGAAAAATATCAAAATGCAAATCCTTTTTCATCATCATTATTGTGTTCAAAATATACTTGAATAGCATAAGAAAGAAGCTGTTGTATGACTGGAAAAAGACATCCAAATCAAAAATCACCATCTCCTTCCTTTTTTTAAAGGACAAAGAAAAAAAAACCAAAGATCCCCTCCAGACGTCTTAAGCCCATAGTCATAGCATCAAATAAGTGACCATCAAAGGCTGCAAAGAATTACAAATAAGACCTCTTAGACTTCCCCCAAAACTCTCATATACCTAAGCCGCACGAGTTCACAATATTTTCATAATCAGATGCCTCCAAAAACATACATGTCCACAAGTAACTCACTGCACTACAGTAGCTGATAGATATAATTTGTTCTTACTGCACTACAGTAGCTCATAGATATAATTTACTTTTATATCATCCAGAAAGTGAAAACCAAACTTCAAAATGTCCAGGAACAAGAAGAAACAATGGGGATGGATCAAAGCACAACAAACCAAATACAATTCAAACAGCAGGCAAGCTAGTTAGCTTTAGAAAAGTTCAAGTAACATTATCAATCCAATTAATATCATTTCCAGCATTTTCATGTCTGATAAAAACCAAAACTACTGATAATTCTTTTCTAAGATTTATATCTGCACTCGAATTCAGTTTTGATTCAACAGATGGCATGATTTGGTTTGGAGGTCTCCAAAAAATTTAAAAAGCTCGTTGCCTAAAGTTTATTACGAGTAAACTGTTGGACCAGCTAAAATGTCAACAACATCCATCATAATGCTAAATGCAAATGATAAGCTAGAGCACAATGAAGTTGAATCTCAAAAGAGGTGAAACAATAAGGAAAATGAAAGAGTAGAAAGCAATGCGCCAAACTGTAGAGTATACATGACCACACAAAATTAAGATGTTTCTAATAACATGGGCTATTATAAATACAAAACTTGTCAACTTCCTGTAAAAGGTACCAATTAAATAGAAATGAAAAGATGTAATCATCAAGGCTGCTACCTTCTCATCGAGTTCATGAACAAATTTTTCTGTAGGGCTCAGGACTCTTCCAAAAGGAAGTGGGAAGTCAATGCCTCCCCACCTACACAACGTGTTAAATTTCATCAAGAAGTTAGTCAAAGAATGTCTTCCATAAGTCAATCTTCAAGTCAAAGAATTATAGCCTACTTTTTGAAGTTCTTGAAAGCAGCTGTATCATCCAATTCTCCTCGCATATCCAGTGGGTATGGTTCACCATTTACCAAAGTAAATGGGTTCATCTCTATAAAACTGAAATCCAAATCTGTAAAAGATGCAAGGGACCAAATCAATGCTAACTATGAATCATGAGCACAAAAATGACACAAGGGGTTAACCAAAAAACATATCAACAGATTAAGGACACTAAGTAGCAAATAGAAAGATCTATTCAAATATCTCATCAACAAGAAGACTTCTGTAATAACCTATGAACAACAGTCTACTTCTTAACATATGTGCATTACCACCTTCTATATCTATATATTGCATATAACATATTTGGAGACAAGAACATATAAAACAGTCTTGTGTGGGAATCTGTTATTAGGTGAACATATACAGTCAGAGATGTTTAATTTCCTGGCTTACCTTGGAACACAGTAAAAACTCCCTTAATAAAGTCCCCTATCTTCCCTCGTACCTGAGCCAATTAATGCAACAGGGCACCCAAGTTATAGCAACAATGAAGTATCTCACCATAATATATAATTTCTGATGGTTACTAGTATAATAAGAAAAGCAAGTAAGCGATAATTTGATGTATAGCTACGAACGAGTGCACCTCACCTCCAATGGAAGCGTTGCGATCAAAGGAGCACATGCCTCGCCTGTCATAGGCTTCTCTGTAGGAAGATATACCGTCTTGACCTTGTCCCAGTTCTCCTCTATTTCAATGCCTCCACACTCTGAGAAGCTGACGGTGCAACCCAGCCTCTCTGACACAATAGAGAGGTAGTATTCTTGATCGTGGGGAACAAATGGCTCGATTATGAACGTGGTGATCGGAGCCTTGCACCCTCCCATCTCAACCTTTGAGCAAAAAGAAAGTATATTAGATTCCATCACACGGTTATCTCATTGCATAAGAAGATCATAAAACATCATAGATCACCTCCACTCCCAGACGTTCCTTGACAAACTGAGCCGCCTGAGCCAGATCTAGGTTGAGAGCCACCAAACCGCTCTTTCCACGCTTGCCGAACAGCATGTCGGGCTTCACGACCAACTTCATGGACGAAAGCCATGGTTCCTTGTTCACCAACTCATTGAAGTCCGTCGATTCCGTCACCTACATCAACTCAACCATCACGAAAAATAGTCTGAAACCCCTCATTTTGAGGACCAATTTCGACCGACGCGCGACAACTAGAACGCATTCATCATCCCGTCCAAAGAAATCAGATTCAAACTTCACAGGAAACCATACGAATCGATCATCGAGAACATAAAACGACCAAACAACCCCGGAAACGGACGATCGTAAGAGATCGATAGACCGAGGCTCTGTTATCGATTGGGGACGGATGAGAGCACCTGGACGGATCGGATCTGGAGATCGATGCCGGCGAGACGCTTGAGGTGCTCCTTGAGGAGACGCTTGGAATCGTACTCCCGGATCTTCTTCCTGGCCATCGCCTCCCTTCTTCGGTTCTTCCGCCCGTGGCTCCGACGGACACGATCACCACGCCCCCAAGCAACGCTAGACATCGCTTTAAATAACGTTCGGAGATGATCAACTTGGAGTATTGGACGGCCCAGATTCGTTTGGCGGGTAGGTGGGCGCTTCGCATCGATGGGAAAAGACGGGTTTGCTTTGGCGGACGGTGGCCAATGCATCCACCTACCCCTCGGCGGTCGCTAATTGCCGCCGCATAGTTTAATTAATAGTGGAAACTTTATGCGAGATCCGACATCTACCGTCGATATTGTTCAGGAAAACTATATGAACCGTAGGATTCGGGTGCGCAAATATTGTGCATGTTATGTATGTCCCACTTTTTCTTTGTTTTAATCGAACCGTTCATCTGACGTGATCGAATTATTTTGGAAAAGATAGACGGTGGAGATTAGAAAGTAAGATGGGAGTACCGTTTTGGAGGGATTACTTAGTAACTCTTTAAATCATGTGTTGGGAGGGTTAGGTGGCCTGTTAGCGGTGGTTGGGAAATGGATCCTCTCCAGTTATGTTTTAAAATAGGATCTTCCAGTTGTCTCGTGGCGATGGCACAGGACACTGTCCGCGGCGTTGGTAGCCGCTTGTGCTGTGATGGAAGTTCTGGATTGGGCCGCAAGAAAGCATATGAGCCAATTTTGTAGATCCGAATTAAAAGTGGATTACTTTTTCTATTTATTTCATCATTTGCTTATTTGGCATTTGAGTAATGGATTATTGATGGTGTTAAAAGAAAAAAAATCATTAACGTCTTGATCAATCAGACTAGCTTCAGACCCATATACCCATATACGTAGAGTTGTCCAATGTGAAAACATTAAACTCTCTAGATGTCACTTGCATGAAAACTAAAATCGAAAAAGGTATTCCGATCCGATCTCTTTGACATTAAGTTAATAACGTGAAGTATATGAGTGTAGATATGAGTGGTTGAAAAAATAATTTTTTTTATTATATTAAAAATCATATTTTATACCTAGTTATAAAGAATAAAATATTTTATGAATTATTCTATGAAAAAGTAGCTTTTAATAATCTCCAACGATCTTCCTAACCGGTAACCATTTATATTGGACTCTTGCTCACATAGACAGACAAGTGAAAAGTGACATTCGTCTTTTTCTTCTACCATGGACTTCCGTGAAGATTATATGTTAGATGATGATTAACCAATAATGTACTTTCTATATGATCAATATAATAAAGAAATCAATATAAACTCATGTGGACCTTGTCAAAACTAATCAAACTACATCCTCATTCCTTCTACAAATTATCACCATATTTTCTAAATACCTTTGTTCTCGTTTGTAGATGCAAAATATCTCCTTGCTAATAAAGAAAGTCAATATTATCAAACTTTAACCAGCATTTGATAAATGTAAGAATATCTTCAAATAAATTTTGCAATATCTTCTAGCAGTCAGCATGACACAATTAATTAGCTCCGCTGAATTCACTTCTAGTTGATACATTAGAAGTCAACTTTTTGTTATCTAGATATTATTTTCTTCCTCTTAGGTAAGTACTCGTCCAACTTTTATTTATTGCCCTCACTCCTTCCTCTTTCTTCTCTCCCTTGGTTTTACTGTTTTTTTTTTTTTCTCTTATCACTTGTTATTTTATTCGTGCTCTCGATGGAGAATCAGTATGATAATCTTTGAGACATGAGCTTGTCTGTATGAGATGATCTGAGTCGAAGAAGATTCGATTGGGGGAGATTCTGATATACTGCTTGTACGTTCGAGATGAGACTTTGATAATCGATCATGTGTTCGAGTCTCCTAAGGATTCTAATGTGTCAAGATACACCTTGGTTTCATTAGGGATCATGCATAAGCGGTCAACGACAGAACAAGTTCCTGATCTAACCATTTCTATAATATGAAACAACAGAAGTCTTTGATCCGAGATTTTTATTTAAGCTTGAGGGACTAGTCTTTATACCTGAATAGTCAATGAAAGGAGGCTAATGATTGATCCAAATGAACTTGAAAAATTCTCGATCTAACCTTTTCAATGGTAAAATTAGTAGAAGTTTCCGATCCAGCATTTTCATTTAACCTTGGGAGATTAACCTTTATACTTGAATGACTAGTAAAGGGAGGCTAATGATTGATCCGAGTGGATTTTTATGTCCTTCAAAAGCTTATTCCGCATAATTAGCGAAGGACGATTGCAAGTACATCACTCATCAGAGTGTAAGATAAGCGGATAATAATCGTCTGCACTAAGCGAAAAGAGAGAAATAGGCTTTGCCATCAGGAGTTCTCTTCCCACGTCCTCCTCTAGGTGACGACGATGAGTTACCAAGTGAGTTAGCATATCACTGCTTAAGTCATCTTACTGACGAGAGAGGGAGAGAGCCTTACTGTATCTTCTTTATGGCTTCATTATACTGAACTATATCTGGAAATAGCTCTTAGGATGCGGAGACCATTCTTTGGCGTTCCCATGAATCGTTTCTGCAGAAGTCGTACATCTCGGTAGATTCCAGTGGATGCGTGTCTTGGCACAAGCTTCATCTTTATAGGATAGGAGGCATTAATTTGATGCTTTGAGATGCGTGAGCGGAACTCGTGATTCGTATCTCTCGATCGATCGCACAATTTTATGGGCGATTTTATGAAAAAGTCCTTTGAACTTTCACTTATTCTCACTTATAACCGTGACAGCCAAATGTTGCATAGAGAGAGGCCTTAAGTGGGAATAAAACCCAAAGGGAGCCTTAATTGTGAATATATAGTAGCAGAAGAGGTGTAATGTCAACGGGATCTGTAAATTAAGTTTATACGAAGGTTTCAATTGAAAATTTTAAGCCCCGACGTTCACACCCTCTGTAAATAAAAAGCCCGTAAAGGTTTGAAGCGAAAAATAGTAGAAAAAGACAACTGAAAGCTCGAGCATAGTGCGAAGATCGAGAGAGAGAGGGGGAGAGAGAGAGAGAGAGAGCGGAACGTCGATTCTTCGATCTCTCGATGATCTGTTTCCCAGTGATTCTCGTTGCCTGATCGGTGGCTGAATTTCTCTTCGGTGAGAATCGCAGCCCGAACTCTTCTTCTTATTCTGTTTTCCAGGTTTTTAGGTTTGCGCTTGCTATGATCTTCTCCCAGTTGTTGATCTGATGGATCCGTGCTCTCTCGACCTTTTGTGGTACTTTCTATCCGTCTTTGTGTTCAGATCTGTAACGATTTCGACTGTCAGAGCAGATCGAAGGAGATCTTATTAGGGTTTGCCGCTTTACATTTTTTTGGTCCTTTGTTGCCTATGGAAGCTCGTTGCTTAAACCTTGTTTTTTCCTTCTAGGTCCAGGGTCTGTGTTATGATCTGAATCAGTTGCTCTTGTTCTTCTAGCTCTTAGATTTTTTTTTTTTTTTTTCTGTTTTCTCCTAATATAGAGTATTTCGTTATAGTTGCTGCAGATATGAGTTAGATACGCTTGAGCTTCCCTAGTGATCATGGAGCTCTATTTCGTTATAGTTGCTGCAGATATGAGTTAGACATGCTTGAGCTTCCCTAGTGATCATGGAGCTCTTTGTTTGACTGACGTTCGAACGTTGTTTGAGGATAGCATAATTACATGTTTGTGTTTCATGATGAAGAAGTGAAATGATTGCTGCAGAGGTCATGGATGATCTTTTATGGGAATCTTAGTTTGAGAAGACCAGTTACGTGGTTGAGAAGTTTCACAATGGATTCCCTTTTCAGTGGTATTCACGGATGGCAAGTTTGGTAAAACTGGAACCTAGATCAACCGAAATGTCTAAGATGATGCCCATTAATTAAGTGGTTGATGATTTCGTTTGTTAGTCTTTATAAGTTGCTAAAATTAGGTGAAGCTGTAAACTGGGGATTTGGTCCTTTATGATCTGGGAGATCAGGGTTCAAGTCTTGGAAATAATCTTTCTAAATATAGAAGGAAGACTGCATACATTGATCATCCCCACACCTGATATTAACAAGAGCCTCAGGAACTGGGTATGCCTCTTTTATGGGCTGGGTATTTCTGTGTGATTGTCATCTGATATTGCTTTTAGGGATATGTTTTCAAGAATGGGTTTGTTATGATGGGGACCAGTAAGTTAATTTCTGTGGCTGATTAATGATGCTGGAAATTAATGACAGTTAATTTGGTCAAAGGCAACACACATTGACTCGTCGCATGAAATTTAGTGTTCCTTTGCTAGCTTTTGCTGCACTTCATTAATTTCTGTGGATGATTAATGATGCTGGAAATTAATGACAGTTAACTTGGTCAAAGGCACCATACATTGATTCGTTGCATGAAATTTAGTGTTCCTTTGCTAGCTTGTGCTGCACTTTACTACTGTGTTGTATCTAAATGGAAAGATATAAGACGTAACGTTGTACTTATTTTAGCTGTTTTATTCTGTTGTTTGGTAGCTATTATCAATTCGATGTAATGTGAGCAAAGTTGAGAGTTGGTTAAACATTTTGTTGGCCTCCTCTGTTGATCTATATAAACAAGTTCTATCTTTTACATGCCTTCGGATATAAATTTGTTACTCTTTATCTGTTTGAGTATCTGCTTTGATGTAGATGTTTGTAAGCACTGTATGTTTATGAGCCTAATTCTCAATTATTTGTACAACATTGAGCATTGCATGAGGTTCTTTTGAATTTGCATTCCAGAAATTATGCCTCAAGGCTCGTCTTAATGACATGAATTCTGGTTTCTTTATAGGTACTTGTTCTCGGGATCCGTTTCTTTTACGTGAGGAACTGGTTACTGAGATCATTAAATTACCTTCTGTACTGAATGGCTTCAATTAGCTTGCCACCCTCATCAAGGCTGAAAGATACCACTGGTAGTAGTGTTTCTGTGGACACTTTGCCACATGCAATGAATGTTATGAAAATAAAAGATGATAAGGTAAGTAAATACACTGAGTGATGAATTGAACCAATACTGCTTTATCTATTTCCCATTATTGTAAGTGGAAAAAATGCTGCAATTATTTGAGAAGCAAACATGTGGATCAGTAATTATTTAAACGGTCATTGTAGGAAGTGGAAGCTACTGTAGTTGATGGCAACGGGACAGAGACAGGTCATATAATTGTGACAACTATAGGTGGCAGAAATGGCCAGCCAAAACAGGTAAATCTGCTAGCTCTGTGAATATTTCCAAGTGAATTGATTCTAAAAATACCTGTTACCTGATGTTGCTCATCCAATTCATCATCATTGTTTTGCATTTGTCAGTTTCTACTCCTCCTTTGTTAACTTATTTTGGATGCCTGGCAGACAATAAGCTACATGGCTGAGCGTGTTGTCGGGCATGGATCATTTGGAGTCGTATTCCAGGTGAGTTTAGCAGTTTCCTTGTCTGCTAGAATAGTAACTTAGGATTACCTGTAGCTCTGCAATATTTTGTATTTATCTGTTCTACTAATCATTTTTCTACCTTTAGGCAAAATGTCTAGAGACGGTTGAGACAGTAGCTATAAAGAAGGTTCTTCAAGACAAGAGGTACAAGAACCGTGAGTTGCAAACCATGCGTCTTCTTGATCATCCAAATGTTGTTTGCTTAAAACATTGCTTCTTTTCAACAACTGAAAAAGAAGAGCTCTATCTTAACTTGGTTCTTGAGTACGTACCTGAGACTCTTCATCGAGTAATCAAGCACTATAACAAGATGAATCAGCGTATGCCATTGATATACGTGAAACTTTATATGTATCAGGTAAATTTAAACTTCTTTTGTCAGGCTTCATTTGACAAATCGTTTTATTGGGAAAGTTCATTTGAAACAAACTTTTTCCATTTACCGTGTTTACTTTCAAGTTTCAACATTAGATTTGTGCTCGTTTGAGTCATTCTCAGAGGCTGCTCTTGTTTTTTTCTTAAAGTGCTATGATGTTATTATTGCCATCCAGTTATTAATTGAATGAACCAACTCTGGAAAGTACCAATGGAACATGCCCTGATTCTTCCTTTGTATTGACAGATTTGTAGAGCATTGGCTTATATTCATCGAAGCATTGGAGTGTGCCACAGAGACATCAAACCACAAAATCTTTTGGTATATATTTTACCATTTTCTTGTGTCCATCTTTCTGGATAGAAAATTGAGCTTCATAACCATTTCCCTGTCTTCAAGGACAAGGAAAATAGATGTATTTGATTTGATGTTCATAATGTTGTTCAAATAAGGATTACTTGGAGTCTTTAATTTGTGTCAAACTAACACATGGAAGTTAGTTTCCATATGAAAAGATGTATGTGTATTTGTTTGAGATGTTGAAGTGCATATATAATTGTTTTAGTTGTTCTACATGGTATTTATTGTATATTTACACAGTATCTTTTGCCTATACCTTTCCCAGGTTAATTTATATAATGATGCATATAGCTATATATGTTGATGTGCTTTTGATATGTATTGTTATACTTCTGTAATTATATTAGGTTTTTGTGTTTAAGTAATATAATTTCTTTTAACTTTTTCCTGTAACAGGTCAACCCACATACACATCAGTTGAAACTATGTGACTTTGGGAGTGCCAAAGTTTTGGTACATCTTCATCCTTTCTGTCGATCCATCAATATTTTTCTTGAATACCTGTGTCTGGATATAGATGACTTTTTTGTTTTAACAGGTGAAAGGGGAAACAAATATATCATACATATGTTCCAGATATTATCGAGCTCCTGAGCTTATATTTGGTGCCACTGAGTATACAACAGCAATTGACATCTGGTCAGCTGGTTGTGTTCTTGCTGAACTTCTTCTAGGACAGGTATTACTGCCTTGTAGCATGTTTTGAATACCATTTTGGTATCAGTTTCAATGTGTTGTTGAAGTTGACACTGACATGTACCACCATCTGGTGTCATTTGGTTCTATACTGATTATTGGTTGGCCTGGTACAGACCAATCAATCTGTACTCGGTTCAACCTGTATCCTAAACCATGTTTTGTAGTACTCTAGAAGAATATGAAAAAATGCAAATGATTTCTTTGGACATGTCAACAGCCTTTGTTTCCTGGTGAGAGTGGAGTCGACCAACTCGTTGAAATTATCAAGGTGCCATTCGCAGTTTGCATTTATTCTTTTTAGATGTATCATTGGTACCACGATTTTTATTTCATCTGTTCTTTTGGCATGGTGCAGATTTTGGGTACCCCAACAAGAGAAGAAATCAAATGCATGAATCCAAATTACACTGAGTTTAAGTTTCCACACATCAAAACTCACCCATGGCACAAGGTAAATTTAGTTAGCATTTCATCATCTTATTTGTTTTCAATTTCAAATCACTTCTATTTTCTTTTATCTCTCCTGGCTACAGTTTTAACCAGATATTGTACTCTTGTCAGATTTTTCATAAAAGAACACCACGTGAAGCAGTAGATCTTGTCTCTAGGCTTCTTCAATATTCTCCAAACTTAAGGAGCACGGCTGTGAGTTGGCACACTTTTTAACTACTGTAGCCAAGGACTTGAATTAATCCACGTAGAAATTTGGGATGTCTTAGTAAGTTGCTATTCGTGCAGTTGGAAGCACTGATCCATCCATTCTTTGAAGAGCTTCGAGATCCAAGTGCTCGATTACCAAATGGTCGTTATCTACCTCCACTCTTCAACTTCAAGCCTAATGGTAAGTCAGGGATGGAACATCCCTTCTGCATAACATTATTCTTTTGCTACCCTCTTTTCATTCATCCTTTCGCCCTCTTGAAAATCATGTTTCTTTATTGGCAATGCATGATTATAAACAGAGTTAAAGGGTGTTCCGACGGAGATTGTATCAAAATTGATTCCGGAGCACGCAAGAAAGCAATGCGCCTTCTTAGGGCTGTGATTTGTTGAATCATGTCACTAGAAAATAGTTTGTGTATCTATATACGGTAGAAAGGAAAAATACTTATTAGCATCGTGTGTGACCTCTTAAGTCTCTTTCTTGTTGTTATTGTCATTGACATCTCTGTCCTTCTCCTTGTCTTTGTTTAGTCTACTTTGTATTACTGTATTGTGGAGTATCAGCACTGCAGATTGTAAGGTATGCTCTTGGGTCCTTGAACATTGTTCAGCATCTTTGCTAACCTATGCTTTTTCTCACACTATATTTGGATATTGTTAGAGAAATCTTGTTGTTTGCTTAAGACTTCAATCAAAACAAATCCTTGCCTCTGTTGTCTCTATATATTTGTATTCAAGTTGATTGCGGAGGTATTGTATTGGTAAAAGGATCACACTCTAACCACTATGAAAGACCCATTTCCTGTTGTATAATTATGTCATGGATTTGGTTAATAATGTGAATCCAATTAAAGTTTGGCTTTGGTATGATATTTTGCAGAGTCTACTGTATTACTTCCTTTCCTAGTTTTTTCCATAAAGTAGCAGACTATAAATCATTATTGGATATAAATGCCTCCTTTTCAGCAAGTTTGTTTTTTCTTTACTTGGTAATTAAATATGTTCCTTGTTCTCTTACCAAGTGCTCATTCTCAGTGCTGTATTGTCTTGATTCTCAGCAGTATCACTGTAACCTTTGGATAAGATTTTAGATTTCAAGAAATCTCAAAAATGTCCATTGAACTCCTTTTTTTTCTTCTATAATATCTTAAATAAATGTACTTTTTAAGGATTTATTGATTCTAGCTGTTCTTGTGTTTGTTGGTAGAATTTGCAGTCTCTTTCGTGGTTGTCTGCATCTTGGCAAATGAATCCAGGTGTAGTTGGATTTATAGGTTCTTAGTGCTATATATTTCTCCAGAGAGCAGCTGCTCCTTTTCTGTGCCACGTTGTTCTGGCTCGATACTTGGCTGATTCATTTCTTGTTAGTTGAAGCTTGCTTCGTCACCCACCATATGTAAATTGTGCTGATTCAAAGACGCCTTGCATCTCGACCGTTCACTGGTTTCCTACAAAATTTGCACTCGAGAACCTAATTAACAGGTGGGCACTCGCCTGCTGCCTTCCTTTTTGACCTTCTAGTGGTCCTTGAAATGAATGGTTGACACCTTTGGCTCGAACACAAAAAAGAGGAAAGGAATGCTTCGCGTCCAACACATGTGACACAATTTCTAGATGTTTGATCGGTTGTTCAACATAAATTACGGGAAAATTATTATAAAAACTCCTTTTTGAATAAATAATACTTGTCTTCATTAAAATTCAACGACTCACACGAGTAGTGTAATGTCTTTTTTCTTATTGTTCCCATTAGTTGACCAACAAAGTGACACAATCGTCGCTACAGCACATCACCCAATTGCTGAGGTCAGAGATCCGCACCTGCATGGCGCCCGCAGCTGCTTGATCGCTTGACACAGACACGCGAGCACCTCATTCTCGTTGGCTCGTAACACTCGGACGAAGCTCCACGCAATCACCCACGAAAAGTCATCCGGGCGGTGTTTCCTCCACGGAGCCAGATCAGCAGCGGGGCGTCTCGTCTCTCGCCCCTATTCTGGAAGCTTCTCCATCCTACCCTCGTGACTCCGTTTTGTAGAAGGTGTCCGTTCCCAACAAACCAGGGAAGAGACGAGTCCGGTACGAGGCGCTCCTTTGCTTGGCCACCAACACGAAGCAAGCAAGCGCCAAGAAACAGCCCCCGTGAGGGCAGCTGCTGCGGTGGCGGCGGAAGAAGGTGACCGATGGCGGTGGAAGCAGAGGCTTCGGCCGCGGACTTCGCCCTTTCCGAGACCAATATCAACTGGGACAGGTCCGCTCCGCTTCTTCCTTTCCTCCTTGTCTCCAAGGTTCACATTCTTTTTCTTTCGACTTCGTTTGGAGGATATCTTGATCGTATACTCGAGCCAAGGAGTCTGTAGTTCGTTACCTGGATTTCTTGATCGTGTATTCTAGACAAGTAGTCTATAGTTGTTCGTTTTATTTCTTGATCGTATACTTGAGCTAAGTAGCATGTACTCCGTTTCTTGGATTTCTTGATCGTGTTTTTGAGACAAGGAGTCCGTAGTTCGTTTCTTGGATTCCTTGATCGTGTATTCATGTAGTGTATAGTTGGTTCCTTCTTTTTCTTGATCGTATACTTGAGCCACATAGCATGTAGTTCGTTTCCTGGATTTCTTCATCGTATAATTTGAGCCTAGTAGTATATAGTTCGTTTCTTGGATATCTTGCTCGTGTACTTGACCAAGTAGTCTACAGCGCTTGGCGGATGGGGAACAAAAAGGAAGTTAAAACCTAATAAGGTCTCGTCGTACGAGCCAGGATTATTTACACAACTTCACTTAAAACATCCTAGCTAGCGATCACATATCCATTTACGAATTTTTGGAGTTCAAACAATCATCATCAATTTTCTTTTTACCGTTCAGTAGTATTAGGCAACAATGTAGCCATCCTAGCATGGATTGGTTGAGATAATTACCTTTACAAAGATGCGATCATTCTCTCTAGATCAATTGACTAATAGCAGAACCGTAAAACCTCAAACTGAAAGTAAGAATGTCGCTCTGCTGCCTTTAAAATGCAGGAGATTTTGAAAATAAATCGCTTTCAACAATCGAGTCTTAGATCTCATATGATTTCTTGTAACTGCTGTTTCCGATTGGATCAAAGATCACACTGATTAGTATGCAACAGTTCTGTTAATAAGTTGTAAATGTTGTCCGGTAGCAAAATTCACAAAGCATTATTATGAGAATCACCTGCCATATCATCATTGACAACATCTGATCCCTTTTATATCACATTCAGGTTATTGACAGCATAACTCCTCGAGTTGGGAGAGCCTCACAGAGGGTTTTTAGGAGAAGTGACTATGAAAATTAGGTGTTCAGATAATGACGTTTTTGCTGTTGAAGAAATAATTTCTGTGGGATAAAAGATTACTTCTAAGGCTATATATGTATATGTATATGTATATCTGGCTTTTTCAGTGAATCTTGTCCTGTCATAATATATCTAAATGCTGCTGATTTGTGCTGTGTGCTTTTTTACTCATGATGTACCTAAAGGCTGTTCTTTCTTCTCCAAATCAAGATCTTTGATCAGCTCAGGCAGGACTAGTAAAGTGACCCAGGGGATTGCATCAGATGTATCCTAGATTTGTGTCTTAAAAGTTCAAATTTAATCCAGACTTGAGACCATGTGATGTACATGGAAAATATATTACCCAAATTGAATTTGGCTCATAAAAACCTAATTATGTTAACCAATCAATGCAATTGGAATTATCCAGTTTGTTGGGTGCTCTAAGAGCTAATTTATATAATGCGTTGAATGAGTTAAAATGACCCTTAAAAGGTCAGTGTAGACTTATCTAAGAGCTAATTTATATAATGTGTTGAATGAGTTTCTGCTTTATTGCTGATCTGTGTTGTTAGTATAGAGCACTTCATTCTGATAAATATGTACATCTTCAACTCCACTCACTGAAAAGTGGGAGGTCTAGAATGTTTCTGCTTATCTATTTCTGGTTTTAGAAGTCACTTCTCAAAGCTTATGTCTCATGTAGATGGAAGTATTACTCTGCTTAACTATGTGTGTGTGCATGGAGCCACAGACATCTGTGTTTTTTTCTCTTTTTCCCTCAAACATAGTTCTTTTGATGTTGTTCATTGACATATCATTAATCTCTTTTGAATTTATAAGAAATGTCAGTTTGTCTGGAAGCTTCTGACAGTCCAAAGATCTAACTAATTTTTTGTTTTACTTTGGTGTTAAGGTTGGACAAGACAAAGTTTCATGTCATTGGTGCCGTCCTCTTTACGTTTCAGTCTGGGTTATTACATCCAACAGCCGTTGTTAAGACTAGAATGCAAGTTACTGAAGCTGGGTTATCGCACATGCCTGGAATCTCTGTGTTTAAAAGAATACTGAGACATGATGGAATTCCTGGACTTTATAGAGGTTTTGCTACCTCTGCCATTGGATCATTGCCAGGTCGAGTGCTGGCTCTTACATCACTTGAAGTATCTAAAGATATAATGTTCAAAAACACAGAGGGTCTGAATGTCTCCGAGGCAACACGTATTGCTTTGTCTAATGGAGTGGCAGGATTGGTCTCAAACATAGTTTCATGTATTTATTTTGTACCCTTGGATGTGGTAGGTTCTCTTCATTCCACTCATTAATTGTTTTGCAATTTGAAACTCCAAACATCCAATTTACCTTTACATGTTTTTAAACGTACTAAAATTGATTCCCTGATTAGGGACCATGAATTCACATTCTTCCAGCTTGTCATAGATGATAACAAAGGGGATACTAATTAAAAATAAAGATATGAAATTTGTGCTTGGGCACATCGTGGATGTTGTTTTAGTTGTTACCTATTTGCTGTTGAAGTTGAATCAACAAAAATATGATCATATGTTGCATGATCTGGACTCCCTCAATCCTTCCTTTGTTAGAGCTTAGACTCTTCATGTTGTTGTCCCATTCAAAAATGTTAGGATTGACTACTTTGGCATAGATATAGTATGTGATCCTTCTTTTAGGGGAAACTGGAAAGAGCAGTGTAGTATCCTTGTCTTCAAAATTTCTAATAATTAATTAAGAGTCAACATCGTTTAGGGTTGTAGAGGAAAAGGTTGAATTTGTGCCTTGTTAAAAATGTCCTGGTTTCATAAGTGTTATTTGTGCACAGCCTTTCTTCTCTCTACATGAAACCAGAATCTAAGTAATTTGGTTTGTTGCATTGCTTTGTTTATTCTTGGTAAAATCAAAGTCGGTTTGCAAATTAGATTAGTGCTATTTCAAGGGTGTTCCTTTTTTGGGGGAGGGATGGAATGGTTGGTGCACCTCAAAAGGGACAAAAAAATTTATGAAAAGCATAGGTGTCATGGGGGGCAGTTGTGATCAACACAAGCTTACTAGATTTACCTGAGGATTCTGCACATTCTTGTACTTAAACCTAGGTTCTGTTGGTGTTTCTAGATTTCCCAGAGACTGATGGTCCAAGGCCTACCTGAAATGACTACATATAATGGCCCTTTTGATGTCATCCGCAAAGTGATGAAGAAAGAAGGAATTCGTGGTCTTTATAGAGGGTTTGGGATAACAGTAGCAACCCAGTCACCTGCAACTGCTCTTTGGTGGGGTGCTTATGGTGCTGCTCAACATGTTATTTGGAGGTACATTTA